TGTAAATAAGTGCCTTGCTCTCTTGAGTAGCAAATACTGAATATCTAGCTTTGAGTGCCAAACCCAACAAGTGGTTGTTATAGCTACATATTCAACAAACAATATCCATGAATATAATTAAACACCCTTGCTAATATCAAAACCAACATGTGAAAGGTTACAAACAAGAGGCTTTTAGGCTTGGTCGGTATAATGTATAATGCATAATTTAGTTTTCAGATGAGCTTTTTTTTTTCATGCTTTAGGTCAATTTCTTGTCAAAGTGTGAATTTGTGACCCCGTTCTAGACTCTTGGGTGACTCAAGCAGGCTTTCCTCTAGGATGTGCCTATACTTTGACTCTCTGTTCCCCCCTCAATCCTCACAAGCTCCCCAGTCCCCTTAACGTGATAACAATCCCTATAACAACTTGACAGCTGTGATAGTACTGACTGGGGTAAGTGCCATGTTGGACCTGCACTGTAAGTAATGCCTTTGAAAAACATCAATTTTTCTGAACAATGTTTGTCTCAAATGACCATAAAACCTTCTGCCACATGTCTGCGGTGTCATGTTAAATCTCATATGAACTTTAAATAAAGGCCCCTTTTCTTGATAATCAACATACAAGTTAGCTTTGTGTAGGGACATGGATATTGTCAATGAATGAACAGTGACCACCAATTCAGACTGAACAAAGTCATTGCTGACTTCACAGCATCTCTAGCCAATCTCCTCCCTCTCCTGCCTGCCCTGCTGCTCACTGTGGAAGAGTAACTTGATCTACTGCAGGTATAGTAGCCTTCTCCTCACCTGTGCCTCTTGACTGCTTTATCTCTGATTTGTTTGGAAGCCTCCTTGGTCATTATGGTGAATGTATCTCATCACCGTGTGAGTAGTAGCTTGATATTCAATATCTAGCTGTTCTAGCTTACAGAAACAGAAGCATTTAATTAATTCTGTGACATTCTTTTCTACCTTACTTGTATAGGGTGTGGTAGAAAAGGAATCTAAATAATTAATTTAAATAAGCAATCTTCTAATTTTCTTTAAAAATCTAATTTACAAACTAGGAGCTTTTTTGGCTTTTCAGTTTGGAGTACATTGTGTAGATTGTATTTTTATTTTTTTATTTGAAAGTGTCATGACTGCCCACTTCGACAGAAATACAATTTGGAAACTTTGCATCATAACCAAAGGTGAACACAACTAGCATGTTGTAAAGCTTGACCATAATTTACTTTGATTTAAACTGCATTTATTTTGCTACAAACCCAAGCATTGATTGCTTTTTTATATCTTCTAGATATTGTTTTGATGAGAAAGTTAAAGAATCTACATTAACTCAAGCAATATGCATAGCCTATTTTCTTACCTCTTGGACTGCTTGCATGCACATTAAATTTATTTTGCCATGTCTATGCCAAATCAATACTTTTTATATAATTACCTTGCTTTCTGAAGCTGTATTTGCCAATCCCCCTATTTAAGTACCATGTGAAATATTCAATAGTTTACAAACTAAACAAGAATCTATTATATGGGATTATTTAAGATGTTTCCCAGTCATGCTGTTGAAGCCGATACCCTTGTTTAATTCAATAAACAATTAGACAAGATAACTGGATCATTAAGCCACTGACTATCCAATGGGATAGATGGGTTAAATGGACTCCCCTCATTTGTAACTATTCACACATTCCTATTATTATTATTTGCTTACCAGATGCCTAATCTAAACTGTTGATAAAGATCAGGAGGAGCAACAGGCCTAAACGGGTTCCCTGTGGTACCACCACTGCTTACCTCGGCCCAATCTGAAGTTACATCCCTTAAGACGATGCACTCTTTTCTGTTGGTTCATCAATTCTTGATGCATATGCATACAGTACATTCATGTCCATTCCTACAATGTTTGAAGGTTTACATTTTATGAGGAACCCGATCAAAAACCTCCTAGGACACTAAGCATTTCATGTCATAGTCTTTAATGTTAGCAACTGTCCCTTTGCTTGTTTGATAAATTGTTGCAAGTTCATTTTTTTCTGTTTTCATAATTTTTAAAATGCCATTGTTTCTAAACATATTTCTAGATAAACTCTTTGTATAGTATCCCAACTGAAGTGCTGTCCTAATTTTATTAATTTGATGTTACATTTGTTAATGATAGGTAAACCATCTTACCATTAGTGAGAACTGACTTAACTAAGGTGTAAATAACACTTCTCATTTCCTTATACACACGATTGTGCCCCTGTAGAACCTCAGTGTCAGTATTTGAAATTACCCAATACTGATGAAGTTCTTGATTAACGGGTCATGCTATTAATGTCTTCTATTGAGCAAAAGTGTGTAAACTATTCATTTAGCCTTTTTATTAGTTTTAGATCACTTTTTTTCTATATTATTTTATTAATAGCAGAAGAAGATAAGATTATCGCCTATTATCTTGTACTGGCATTTGCTTTTATAGTTGTAGCACTGTTTTAGTGCTGAGGAAAAATGCTTTGTTTTTTCATTGTTGCAATAGCCCTTCCTACTCGCTTGGAAAATCAAATGTTTTTTTTTCCAGCTGTCTCTGTAGACTACTATATTATTTTTCTGCCTTTGAAAACTCGTTCTACTCTTTATGCAGTCTGCATATCTCTCTCTCTCTCCCAACTGGCATATTTTCTTAGAACTGCACACATGAGTGTCAGGACTCATTTTGTTTTGAGATAGATTCAGAGCTAATATGATTATACTAAAACATAACTGTCAGTTCCAAGCTCACTGCTCTGCTTTTCTAAGATCATAAGCACTAATTCTAGCCTCAGACTAAAGTATCAGTAGTTAACAATATTACAATTCCAAAAAAGTTCACTTCTGTTATCTTAATTAGATCCTGAAAACATGAACAAGTATATCTTCACTAGTAGATGGTTGGGTTATGAAGCTATATTTAACACCTTCTCATCTAGGAGATTTTCTGCTGCATCTACTATAGTTAATAATGCATATCACAACTCTATGTCTAAAAGAGACTTAAAAGAGGAGGTATAGTGGTGTAGTGGTAAGTACTGCTGCCTTTCAATGTTCTACTGCTGTCTCTAAATTGTGCTTATGCATCCGTATCCAATATAGGGTCATTCCTTGTGCTCTGCTTCAGGTGCTGGCTCCGGGTCACCACATCCTCTACCCATTGATCCATCATTTTTAGAATATGGCTGCTAACATAAATTATGGTAACCAAAGCATACCTTGAGACTTTAAACTAAAAACAATGACATAATAAAGTCATATATTGGAATCCATAAGAAAAATGTTATAAGTTATATCTGTTTGCCTGCAGAAAATAACTGAAAAGAACAAATAATATATGTTACAGGCTTATTTTCTAACATTGCTAAGAAACCTCTAGTTAGTCTAGGCTAGGACAGTTAACTATTTTTACTGCTTTCTGTGCCATATATTAGTGTTACTCTCTTAACACCGCTAACAAAATGTGGCCCTGAATATGGAACATAATGTGTGAAAAGTATGAATGCTAATACACCCTAATTTAAATGAGACTCTCAAGCATGGCTTTAGAGCTGCATTTTACTGTATGCTCTCATTGTACGATCTAAAAGGTGCTACTTTTTACACTTTACAATTGCAAAATGTCTGTGATATTTTAAAAAATTATGAAAAGAAGACAACAAAGATTATAAAAGATCACAAACAAGATCAAAACATCAAATTCACACTATTTAGTTTTAATAACCCCATGGTTCCTCTTTATTTTGCAGATTATTCTACTTATTTTTTTATGAAACACTGATATCGTAACAAGTGAGAGTTTGTCATTTCCTTTGTATCTGTCATTTTTAAATGGCTTTTGTATAGCCCTTTTGGACTGTTCGTTATCTTTTTTTCCATTTTATTTTATGTATCTTTTCTTCATCTTCATCTTAATGGAAATGTATTATTTGCACGTTTAACAATTTTTGAAATATTACTATATAAGTGTGCTATAACACACTTCTTTTGTTTATCGTTAACTCAGCACCTGTATTAATTAGTCATTAAAACAATACATTCTCTCTTGAATATGGATTCAGGTAACACGACAGTGTAAAGATAAACAAATGCAAAAAAAGGGCTATACAGTATATAGTTTTTACCTGAATGTCACACTTTTGTGAACAGAAGAATGAACAATTATGTTCAAGTGAAAACAGATGAAAACAAACTTTGTGTTTTACCAATACAACATTTTGGCGTTAGTCCACAATACATAGAGAGATCAAAAGCTTACAAAATATATATTCTACAGCAAAGGTGAATTTTTTATATCTATAAATTCATCAATCAAAAATGAGTGATGTAAAGACTACTGTGAGTCAATGATACCTACTTCATATATTACTACATTCAGTATGAATTGGAGCCTTTCTAAATATGTAGACAGTAGACGTATACAAAAGCAGTGGGCAGACTGGCAATTACAGTAAAATAACTAATAATGAGGAACTGTCATGAAGACACAGGTTGCACTTTTTTAAAAATGTTTCCATACTGACAGGTGTTTCATCTCCTCCTGATTAAAATTATTTTTATTCACTGTACATTTGTCAAGAGAGTGAAACTGGGGACATTGTGTCAAATCAGACCTCATCTCAAAATTCTGTTTTGCAGTGTAGTAACTGTTTATCCGCATGAACAATAGTTTCAGGCAACCCAGTGCACCTTAGAACATCGTCATACTTTCATATCCCGTTTCTTTTTTGAGCCAAGTATATAAATACACATGCATACATTAATAAAAAGTTTTTTTTTTTCCATTCACGCTGTTTTTACTTGTACATAAAAGGACAACACACACTAGCATACAAACCCAAACTAAAAGGTAGAAATATTTTGCACTCTTAGAATTTAAAACAGACACCTTACCCTGAAATGAATATCTAGCTCAAGCTGTATGACTGTCAAGTTCAGGCATTGTTGCTGGTGAGGCATATGGATGGCTAAAGTCATAAGCAAATGAGATAATGTACTCACGGCTTTGTACTGACTGCTGTGGAATCAGCTGAGCACCCAGAGAGCTGGGGAGCCTGACTTTTGAGTGTGGCGAGAGCAGTGATGGAGCAGGAAGCAAGAGATTTGAGCCGACCTGCAATAGGGAAGGCAAATAAGAACACAGAACGTAATTTCCTGGGTCACATACTGATGCAAGCCGAGGGGAAAAGAGCAGTGGCTTTTTGGTAAATGACCATGCAATCCAAGTTCACAACTTCTGGCTGAACAAGAAACTAATAACTGCAGACAGAATGCATCATCAGACCTTGCAAATCCATCAGGAAGTGCAAGAACACACTCAAATTTAACAGTCCAATGCATTAATAAGAAAGGACAAGTAAAGAGTAATGAATAGGCACAAATATCGAGAAATAAAAGCTCCATCAGAGTATGTACATCTTTGTTCCTCCCTAATGCTCACAGATTCTATCCATATCAGTACGTAATTGACATAAAAACTCCTGGATTTAATCAGGGGTTCTTAGTACTATTTGTCCAGAAAGATGTACTGCAATATGCAGATTGTGTAGTAGATTCGGCGGCACTGTGGCTTAGTTGGTTAAAGCACCTGTCTAGTAAACAGGAGATCCTGGGTTCGAATCCCAGCGGTGCCTTTTCATCAATTTCCCTACGGGATTAATAAAGTATTATCTATCTACAGTATCTAGCATCAGTGACATATCAAAGACAGCTTTAAAAGTTACAATGGTAATTTAGGTTTAAATAAGAAATACTACTGTATATCACATTTCTTCCAGATATTTCCTTAAGTTTACTTTTATCCATGTTAGTTTAGGTTGAAGGTTAAAGAAATGAATTTTTACTATTTATATAATATATACAAAATGAAAACAAATGATCAAACTAATTCAATTTAGAAGGATAAACGGGTCACAGCCTAATTACATTTGATATTCATATGAATCTTTAAAATGTGCAGGAATAATGAAACTCTTGAGATAAAGCGCACAACAGTTCTCCTGTGCTCCTGTGTGCTTTGGACAGTAATTTACATACATGCACAGATAAGATTTTCCTAGTTTGTGTTGCTAAGAAACAAACAAACACAGGAAAAAAAATACAATAGAATGGAGAAAGTGTTAGCAATATGTCTTGAATTATTTTGTACATATTAAATGTATTTTGCATGACACTATACCAACATTAATAATTAAAATAACGTATTTCTTACACAGAATCTGAAATAATTTGAACCAAATGCATTTTTCTGGCTTAAAGTCCGATCATTTCATGTTAGCTCACAGTTAGCATAAACATTATGTTTACATGTAAACATAAAACACCTTATTACACCCGAAGAAGGCTCCACAACCAAAACGTTGTTTTCTTTTTTCTCTTTTCAGCATGGAATAAACCTATTACTTGTTCCTATGTAAACATTAATGTTTGTGACATGATATTATGCATGCATGTCTTCTAAACATATAATAATAATAATAATAATAATAATAATAATAATAATAATAATAATAATAACTAGTTATTTAATCACATAATTGAGTAAGAAAAGGTCAAGACACTAGCATGAATACTGCACTGTAAAGCTCAATAAAAACTACAAGTGCTAACAAGTGCAAGTGGCAGGCAGACATGATTTAGCCAAGATGGGGATTATGGACACCAGAACTACTGTAAAAAAAAACATCAGAACACTCATTAGGAGTTTTCAGAAGCTGAAGAAATATACTACCAGTTACTTCAAATTTTTTTTATTGTTTATGGTAAAAATGTGGTTGTTATTAAAATTGAATTAGAATTCAATAACAGCTCCTTATTGAGATAAGCAGGAAGCACAGGTGGTAGGAGGAGGCAAACAGGAGCATGTCAAGGGAGAAGATCGGTTAATGACAATTTAAAACACAGGAAGCAGAGAACAGAGGAGAACTTTTGACATGTGCTACACCAGAGGAAGAAACAACCAAGAATTAATGAGAATTTCATTGACAGTGCTTTGGACAAGGTGAAACGTTTGGAGATGTGACTTAGACCAAGGGAAGGTTTACTTTAAGTGGTGCTAGTAAACAGTGCAGCGGCCCAGTTCGATGTCAGAAGAGGATGTTATCGACAAAGGTTTAGTTATTGCTCTAAATAAGGTAGATGTTTTTTCCCTGTTTTGTATTTTCTCCACTTTGAACATAAACGCATTGTTTTTCATCTTGCCTACCGTCTCTGAGTCTATGACCCAAGACCCATCTGCTGTAAAGTTCCTACAACAGTGGCATACTGTACTTAAATGGCAGAGGGGAATTGAACTTTTTACTTTTTAAAAAGGAGTTTTCAGTTTTAGATTTTATGTTTTTATGCCTTTTGCCTCTGAAGTTAAAATCTAACATTTTTCAAAAACATATATAAACACTTTATTAAAAGCTATTATCTTGTAAGTTAAAGAAGCTTTAACAAGGATGGAGCTTTCCCAACAGCAATATATCTTTTTGGAAAGAAAGCACAATGTTCATGCTTTAAAATTTGTGGGTGCAGAAAAGGTTACTTAAATGGGGATTTAAATTAAAAATACTTTGGTAGGAGTCTTTATGAACATTGCAAACAATGTCACAAAAAGTAATAGGGAAATCACATTATTTGCTTGTTCCCAAATATTTTATTGACAATGAATTAATTATTTACTGGAGAATTTATAATTGCTGTTTTTATCGGACAGCAATTTTGACTTAAATAAAGTGAACTTCTATTGAAGTTCATGGATCTTACAATCACTGATGATGGCTTCAGGCTGAAAGTATTTAATGTTTGTGATTCGTTTTGAAAACAATTCTGAAAAAGACTTTAAAAAAAGATTATTCTAGCTTAAGTATTAGTAATCTTTTTCTGCTTTGTGAATCTTCGAGCCACTGCAACTACATTATTTGCAGGAAAAAGAACCTGATTTGACAATAAGCATCATGTACTGAATTGAATTGACACATATTTAAAGAATAACTATTGTCTCTAAAGACTCTTTGGGGAAAAGGAAAACCCTGCAGAAATGGACTGACATTTTATAAGTATCTCTGAATCTGAAATTCTTCTTCTTGTGTGTGTTAATTTGTTTAGCTGTAGGAAGTCTGGCAGAAAAGGGATTCCTTCCCTTTACCATTTATTTGTATTTTACACTGAATGCTTATGTACAAAAATAATTTGCAGTCATTCTCAAGGCTTTTTTTAACAGCTGAAAGTATTACATACTGATCTGTGATTATAGCTGTTATAGCTGCCACTGACTGTACCTCATTAATACAATCAGATTTTTCCAGGAGTGGTTGTGATAGACTCCTTGCCACCTCATACAGTACGTATTCCTTTTGTACTGATGATTCTAAGAAATAAATGAGACATAGATTTCTAATGACCTCCAGGACTTAAGACAATATAACCAGAAAGTGACTATGCAATGATGAATTAAAAAAATCTAATTGCATTAATGCATCTTGTTTATCTACAATTTAGATTCACTTTCATTTTTACAGGCAGACAAACCAGAGGTTCAGGAATTTGATGTTGTTTTTCCTGTCTTGGGCCAGTACCATTTAAACCAGATGGCAAATAATAATGTATTTACTGAGACGAAATACTGTGTGCTCAGGGGGCAGGTGTTTTGAAGCCGTATGTTTCAGGACATCAGAATGTTGATATTCCACTCCAGATCTTGTTTTGCAGTCTGATTCAGATGTTACAAACTTAATTTTTAAAGGTTTTGTCGAGAGAAACTATTTATATTTCAATACAAATAATCTTACCAGCTTTCCACCTGTTGTGTTTCACAATTACTGTAATTAAAAAAGGGATACATTTCATTGTGAAGCAAAAAACCTTGAAAATACGCTGTAAAAGTTGGATTTGGGGGTTTTGGAATTCCAGAAGATTACTAATATTGGAATATCAGGATTATTTTGAGACAACTCAAAACGTGGTCTGTTCTGTGAAATGAATACTGAAATTTCAATTAAATTTCACACAGGAAAAACTAATTATAGTGATAAAGAATCTGAACCAGCAATATTAAATCTGTAAAGCTCACTACAACACAGTGCTATGACGACGATGAACGGGCACTATTCTCCACATTCAAATTGGCAGTAAATACATCAAGTCTGCTCTATGTAAACTCAAATGAATGTGCGGTGCAGAGGAACAATATCAATATAAAAGTTTCAAGGCCTGTCAAATACCATAAAATCAGTCCAAGAAGATAATTTTATAATACCATAAAAATAAGTACCATAAAAACCTATGGTTGCTAAATTACTCCTTCTATATACAGTATACACCACCTTCATAGTCAACTCATAAACATTCTGATTAGTAAACACATTTATTAAATGTAAATTAATTGGTAAATTAAAAAACAAACTGAATTAAATTTACAGGCTCATAAGCACAATCAGGTACTGGTTCACAGCAGCTAAACAAATTCTCATTTATATTTTATTAAAATTTGATCAAAATTGTGAAATATATTATTTTCTGTGATATTAATACTATAAATACACACATCTGAAAACTGTTAAAATCTTTGGATAATTAACTTATGTCATTTTGAGTGTAATATATATTGCATGCATTGAGTAATGCAAATCAATAAATTGACTGCTTAGATGGTACATGTGTAAATGTATCTATTTTACAACAAACAGCAACACCATGGGACGGATGTTCATCAATGCATCAACACTAGCAATTCTCCACCAGGGGCAGAGACAGAAAATGATAAGTGAGAAGGAGTAGGAAACACCTGTAAATGAGTTCAAAGTAACGTCTAGCCATGTGTGCTTCGCGTTTGCTCCAGGATCCAAGATACCTCACAACTTCACTCAGATGAACATGACTAGACTATGCAGAAAATGTTCGGGATGACGTTTATTTCTTCCCACTTGAGAGTTTCTGTTTTCCTTTCCTTTGGACCCACATGGTCAACTGTTGTTATTTAACGAATCTGTGAATCACACTGTGGCAAACTGTTGTAAATGATGGTGGCAAATAAGAGCATTTTATCAATGGGTCAATGAGCAATAAATAGGTACAGGCATGCAAAAAAAATCAAGAGGATTATCTGGTTTTATGTTTTTGTGACTTTATTTCCACCACAATTAAAAAAACTACTACCGATTTTTTATATGAACACACAAGATAACTGGCGTTAAAGTAATGATTCCATAAAATAATTATCTGTAATGTTTCTGCTCTTGTCCATCCACACCTTCCATTTTGTGCTCCTAATAAAGGTTCTACCATAATGCATTTTCCAGGTTATGGAAAAAGTTATAGCGCATTGTCCATAACCATTACAATGGGGTACACATTCTGAAGTATACCTAATGATACAACAGTGCTGCTATTACATACTGTTATAGTGATGCTGCACTATATTATTCACTACAGTATGGTGACAAGGGTTACTGTGCTATAGATGCAACACCTTGGTTGTCACTAGCGTGGCACTTCTGGAGAGAGTAGGGGTATCGATTCTGGTATCCTAAAATATAGATTGAACCTGTACAGGTTAAATGGTGCAGCAATTTTGAATTTCTCTACCTGATCTGCTGTGTAGTGCAGCTGTTAAAGGATAACGGCTTCCATATGTCACCCATGTGGGTGCTTCACTACAATGGTGGATAAAGTAGATTCCCTCCTGTGTGTAAAGATATATTGTACAAAATTATTCTTTTCATCATCATCATCCTTCATTTTTGTAATAATTGCTTTCTCAACCGTATTTTAATATAACACTTTAAGCTTTTTAATTGCCTGTAAACCCACGTTTCTGTTCCATTCATGAATTTAACAGGTTTACAAACTTCAGCTGAATCATGATCATTGATATAAATTTAGTGTACCTAAAACAGCTCACTGTAGCACTTTCAGTTACCCACTTCTTAATCCAAAACCATGTATTACTTTGGAAACCTGCAGCTTTTCATTAACTTTTGATATTGAACCTCAAAGACGTCAAAAAAGTTAGTTGAGCAAGACACAGTTTTTCTAAACTCAATCTAATTATCCCCTTTAATAATTTGTCTTTTGGAATCTTGAAGTTTAACTCTGCACTGCTGTTTCCATAGATTTTAATAAGCAGATTAACTAGATAGATTTAAATTCACCATAGTTTTTAAGGACACCTTTGTAATTTTCCAGTCACTAGAAATCCATGGCTGAGGTGTCTTTTGAAAGGTCCTAGATAAAGATGCATGTAAAACATCCTTGTTTCCTTAAGTATAGAATGTTCATAAACCAGCACAGGAAACTCATATGAACAACAGTATCAGAAAAATGCATATTATATTTGTTTTAAGGGGAAGGAAACAAATAGACATTCTTATTATTTTTTGAAAGATTACCACATTGTACACTGCACAGGTGGCAAATAAGAAATATCAAAAAGCCAGTTTTAAACAAGTATAGAGGAAAATTCCATATTATCTACTTTTTCTTTTCATATTCAGTAAAATGGGTGAACACAAAGGCTTGAAAACAAGTTGGTTACAGTCTTTAAGAGAAGCCGCACACTTCTTTTATTATTTCAGAATGGGAAGAAATAGACTCTTGCACCCCTCTGCCCCAAAATCTGCCATGGTTCTTAAGCTGGTTAACATTCTCACTCATCCTCAGGTTTAGTTTTATTTGCCAAATAACCCAAAATACAAAATCCGAAAATATTTCTAAGAAAGCCTCTCAATTAAGAGTTTACCTTGGAGGGTAATGATATTTACCATCTTAAACCAGTACTGACCCTTCACAACAGAACAACTTTAAACATTTATAACCCTTGCATAAGCAAACATGTCATCAGTAAACATGGAAACACAGAAGGCTGTCATCTAGTTGACACTGCTACTAGCCATGTGCATTTTATTTCTGTGGTGTATTTAAGCCTTGTCATTAAGGGAAGTGGGACCACCCTCTACTGGGCTGAGTGGGGAATATTTTCTTATTTATTTTTTGTTTTTATTTTGAGGCAAAAACTGTACACATTTTTATTTATTGTTAGACAAATGCACACTTCTGCATATTAAAAAAAATCTATTTTACAGGTCTTTGGTAGGTTAACTGAAGTGACAGATTTTATTTATGTTCACAATTCCTTGATAAATTGATGGAGGAAAAAAAGCAAACAACAAAAATACAAAGTTAAAAATGTAGCATTTAAAACATCCAATGTTATAATAACATCGTAAAATGTTATACTAAAATTGTATAATGGATTAGTGAGACTCACTTGTAATACTGCATAGAGTTTTGGTAACCACTTTACAAAACAAAACATTTTTGCTGCTCTGGAACTCAACTAAAGAAGAGACACCAGGTACATTTCCAGGATTGAAAGAATGTTGCACAGAATGGTTTAAGTCATGAATAGAAAAGCTTGTTAAGGAATTCAATTCAAAAATTAAAAAAGGCAATGACAAAGTCAATTCATTGGGCCTTTTTAGGATTGACAGTGAAACACAAACCAGAGGATAAGGCTCAAAACTAAGGGTAACTGCATTTATAAGTGGGAAAAGGAGGGACACAAAGAATTCGAAAACAAGCTACCCAGCCAGATGTTTGGAGGTTATAACCTGAATTAATTCAAGAAATAGCTGTATGAGATCCTGATATAAATCACCTTCTAAAACTGTGCTAATGTGCTAAATGGCCTCCTCTCATGTTCTTAAATATACTGCACGTTCTTGTACAATATCTACAACTTGTAGCACCTACAGAGCTGCACAAATAAACTTTGAAATGCTGTATCTTAAATAAGTAAATTCACACCTACTAGGATGAATGTGGGCTCAATTCACTAAGAAGAGTTGTTGACTTGACAAATGTAGTTTATAAAGGATAGATTTAGTTCCTTGTAGGTTCAAATGCTAGATGCGAAAACGCATGGACATAAACACATACTGTACACACACCTATAAAATGAGGAATACATTGCCACTGAAGAAAACAATGGTCAAAGCAATCTTTTATTGCACATTTCCCAAGTTACCCTTAAGCTTTTACAACTTCCTCAAAATATTTCCCTAGTTCATTCTCTGCGATGAATGAATGAAGCAATCCTGTTTCAAAAGAGAAAAAAAAGGCTGTGCAAAGATATTGCGCTAAGAGAGGTAATGTGGGGCCTTCTCATTTCACAACATGCAGTGAAAGGAAAAAAAAGGACCACATCTTTCCCTGTTTACTAAAGGCTTGGTGTGATGCAACAAAGAAGTATAATCAGGTTTCAATAAAAAGGAACAAACTAGTGAAAATAAGTAATCCTTGCCAGCTTCTACTTTGCATTACTTTTCTTATCCACGTCAATCCTATGCAAATTATGTAAATATTCGAATATTTCTTAGATCCAAAATTTCCATAACAAAACAATACTTAAAGTGTGTAAAGGAAGAAAAAAGTGTATTTTAACATGACCCAACAAGAAGGCATCAACAGAGCCCTGAATGTTCATTCTCAAGTCATGACCCCAGTATCACATAATAAGAGAACTTTGCATATACATTTGCAAGTCAAATAAGCTCACCGTTCCCACTGCTTATCAGCCCATCATGTATTCATTCTCTAGCAGGGGCTTTCTGCCTGCAGGTTATTCTGTATTCAAATAACCCCCGTAAAATCAGCATTCCTGTATTTAGACTAAAAGCTGCGAAGGGGGCTGTAAATCAAGTGGAAAAAGTGCTGATCACCAGGTTTTCCAGTTTTTTTCCTACAAAAACATATTTCTGGGACACACTCTACAAACCACTTCTGGCAAATCATCTCCATAACATCACCTTTCTAGAGAAATAATATGAAAGTAATTAGATTATTTGACATAACATTGGGCCACACAACCCTTTTCACAAGGCCAAAATCAGTGACAGATCTCTTATGAAAACAATTTTTGTTAGATTTCAAGACATACACTACATCATTGTACAGACCTTTTATATAAAATGAATGTTTATATATTGCTATAAAAAACAAGGAAAAGGTAAATGTTTTAAAATATCTAAATGTATACATGTTGGAAGAAAACTAGAAAATTAGATTAAGGGCTTGGTCACGTAAAAAAAAAAAACCTATATACAGTAAAAGCTTTTTACGTACCACTTTTTAAAAAAAATAAAACTTAACAATGCACAGTTCTGAAAACATTAATTTCTGGCTAGAATGATAAATCTTTGAGATCTTTGATGTTTATTTAAGATTACCCTGTCACTAAGATACAGTCAATGTGAGGAAAGTTAAGAATATGAAGAATATTGTGCACTTGTGGACAAAACTGGGTTTCAGCCTATGTTAACTTCTCCCTACAAAGGCTTGAACTGGTTCTTAAATTCTGTAAGAAACATTTGTTTTACTGTGCTTAAATACTTACTGTGTTAAAATAGCTACTGCTCACTGGACTAACAAAGCCAGCCTCCAGTGGCAAATCCCTTGCTGCAGAAGGAACCCCACCTGTGTTAACAAACAAACCAAGAGGAACATGAAATTGTTGCTGATTTCCTAAAAGTGACACAGCAATTTTGAAGGCAATCAGCTCCACGAGGTTTTCTGGGCTGGCTGCAAAACAAGTACAGTAACCCATTTGGGAAAGAATAGCTACTGTATGTTGAGGAGCCAAAGCAATAAAAAATGCAGTATTACTTATTCCAGCCAGTCTCATAGATTTAAATTAGTATGCACTAAAACATGCCTATTGCTTTTATTTGTATTATTGAATACAAAGTTGTTTAAAATGTTTTGGACCATGCATTATCATGTTTTTTAAAGAATAAAAGCACAGAATAAAAAGTAAGATTATTAATCCTCACAAAAGACGTTCCACCACACCTCACTGAAGTAGATCCCTCTGATGTTGCTTTTTAAGATTCATATATTGTAAAAAATGGTGAACTCCATGGAAAACAATTTAAAAAATAAATACCTTGCTTGTCATACAGGTATCCCGCTGCAGATAGGTTTCGACTCACCGGCTCCTAAATTAAAAATCATCCAACAGGGAATTCATAAAAAATGGAATACTGGTTAAAAGTGTAACCTTGAGTCCTAAATTCAAGATTATATGAAATTAAATATTGCACATGTGTATGTGCACACTCATTTTGTAAAAATAAAATTCTAAACAAAAGTCCACATTTACTAAGCGAATTCTTCCATGCTAAGGTTATCATACTATTCTGAAAAGTATAAACTTATGCTGTTTCAATATGAACCAAACATTTAGGGACAGAAAAGGCTGATGTGCCATTTTACATTTCCATGTTTTTTCTAAGTATGATTTTTTGTATAAGCTTAAAGAGATTTTCACAAAAGTAAGGTGCTACTATTCTTCAACACATTTTGCCCAAAACTTGAAATGTACTCAATAAGTATACTATGGCTACTTATAAGTGCTTAAAACAACAGTGAAAAAGGAAACTTCCATTTCAGCAAGTAGAACAATCATTTTCAGCAAAATACTGATAGAATCATTTACTATATGAATATTAGGCCTCTCTTTATTGTGGTAATAAAACACAAAGCCAGGTGCAGAAGCTGTTTCACCTGGCACTCACTCAAGTTCACAATAAAAAGGAGAGGCTTTCAACCTAAAAGAGACAAATGGCTGTTTCATATTAAAAGCTACTCAGAAAAGTTAGTAATATTTGTTACTACAGTATGTACTGTAACTGTAGCGTTGTCATATTAAAATGAGTGATCTTGACACATTTTTATATTTTATTTATAAGCATTTAAAAAAAAAAACTATAAAATGTGCTGTATGGTGATATAGTACATCCAGAAAGCACATAGCAGAAGCAAAAAGAGAAAAGTCAGCACAGTAAAACCCAATAAAAAACATCAAATAAAAATACAACAAAAACAGAAGTAAAACTAAACTACACATTAAAAGTTAAAAAGAAAAGACTCAAAGTTTTGAACTTTTTTTTTAAGTTTCATGGATTTGGACAATTCCATAGTTGTGTGTAAACACTCTGGAGCCCATTGTGTGGAGTCAGGTCTTCAGCAATAAGCAGTTATAGGGCTTGAATCAGCAGATCTCAGGTTACTTGTTGGACTATACTCATGCAATAACAACTTAACCTGGAGCTAGACTATGAAGTTCCTAACATGAACAGGAGATCCTTAAAGTGCACTCATATTTCACAAGGAGTGAGTGCAATTCACACAAGACATATTGTAGCTTACAAATCTGACTACACAAAATGGAGCACACACAAATACATTCCTTATCTACACGTGGCCATGCGTGCAGAAACCTGATAATTACACAAGGCGCACAGAAGTTCCAGGGAACAATTCTCTTCTTTTGTTTTGGGGGTTATACATTTTAATATTGATGGACTTTATAGCAGTTAGAATTTATTTTAGGTGAAATATAGCCTGTGACAAAAGCATTTATGTTACTTTACATTGGAACACAAAAAATAGGAAAGGTTGCAAACCAGGGTCTTCCTGATTTAGTTTAGTAGCTAAGTAAATGTTTAAATTCCATCAAGTCATTTCATAAAAAAGTTCAGAGTTTGGGCCTCAACTACCTGGCAGGAAAGCTTAATCCAGCTATAAGCAACTACAGTAGATACAGAAGTGTTTTCCTCAGATGAATTTCTAGTTTTCAAATGTAACTCCCTGTCCTTTTTTCACTACTCCCTGTCTATACCCCTCAGGATTTTTAGATGCTTTCATCAAATCTCTTCTTAACATTCTTCTAGACGGAAAAGATTTAGGTCCCTTAACCTGTTAATATATTCTCTGTTTTTGAATATTTAAAAATGCGCTCATCTCCATTTATAAATAAGTCAGTGCATTATACTGAGTACTTTTCCTTCAGACAAATCACAAAGAGTTTACAAGAGGACACACTTCATCTACCTTTAAATGGAGCCCCTAGCAAGGTGACATGTGGCTATTCTGTGCCAGCAACTCATTATATAGCACTTAAAGTGGAGAAGTGAATAATTAAAGTGAAGGAGAGGTTTATGTAGGCTAGACTGAGAAAGACTGAACTGTAATTTAGCCAGAAGCTCAGTGTTAGTAAAGCTAATTCCACGAACAATGCCAAAGGACTTGAAAGACTAGAAGTTTGGACCCTTGTTTTAACGTCTCATATGAAGGACAGCAAATCCTACAGCAAGACCTTTTCAGTTCTCTGTGGCCAAAACAGAGCTTTGAGATGCATTTACACAGAAAATAAATTTGAAGAAGTATACTTGTAATTGACAAATATAGCTTAAAGTGCATACACAAATAGTGAAATGTAAATTCTATAAGGTCTTACATGACAAGTAGAGCTCCCTGAACATTTGGGAGTTAAACCGGAATTATATGACTCACCCACTCACAAAATAACAGTGCAAAACGGCATGTATAAAAATTAGAGGTTATGACAGAATGGCACTTCTGCATTCATTAAAAAATAGAAGAAACATCTTTGGAGCCCACATTATTTCTAATCTTCATCATCGCATAATTAACAAAAAAGAAGGACCTACTCCCTTGATCTACACCTCTTCCAAGTGTAAGGCTTCACTCCCTTTGTTTCTCTAGTAGTCTTGCAACGTTTTCTCCCTGTGGTATAAATTTGCTTAATGGAAATGTTTGATCATTTGTATGCCAGTGACTTCCCTTGGCAAACTTCCCTTGTTCAGAACCACAAAGTGGTGTAATTTGTGCAAGGAGCACACATCCCTCTTTTACTATGGAGTCACAATGAAATAATAAATAATTTACAGTAGTTCATTAATTATAAGGCACTATGGGAATACCTCCTAAACTAGGACAAATATGATAATACTTCTAGTTTGGAAATAATAACATATATTGGCGTGATTGAGAAATAAAAAATGAAGCAGATAAAAATACTAGAAAACACAAGAGTATTGTTATTATTAATTTTACATTACATTACAACACTATTCTTCAACACCATGCAATACTCCCCGAGAGGTGACTTGGAGGCTTTCAGACACATCATAAAAGTTTGGGACCAGTTAAAACTCAAAAAAGGGAAGAGGAGTTAACTCCATTGTCTTTGCCAATTCTGAAAGCAGTTTAAAAAGTCTCTGTCATTTAACTTTATATAAAATTTGATCAAATAAAAGGGTACTTATCACCCACCTGTTTTAAACTTCACATTTTTGGACTGCAATAGTAAAGATAATTTCCCAATTGGTTTGCAAGATGCAAATTTCTGAAAATCTACTGGGTCTGCCTACTTTACTGATTGCCTATTGCTGATGGTGAGGCCTTAGAATGTGATGAACATCACATTCTTATTGGCCAGTTAATGAGCTGACAAGCTCGACTAGTCAGAACTGCTCAGTCCTTCGGATGAGACATAAAACTGAGGTCCTGACACTCTGTGGTCATTAAAAATCCCAGGGCGTTTGTCGAAAAGAGTAGGGGCGTAACCCTGGCATCCTGGCCAAATTTCCCATTGGCCTTTACCAATCATGGCCTCCTAATAATCCCCAACTATGAACTGGTTTCATTACTCTGTTTTCCTCCCCACTAATAGCTGATGTGCGGTGAGCATTCTGGTGCACTATGGCTGCCGTCGAATCATCCAGGTGGGTGCTGCACGTTAGTGGTGGTGGTGGAGGAGTCCTTACTACCTGTAAAGCGCTATGAGTGGAGTGTCCAGAAAAGCACTATATAAGTGTAAGGAATTATTATTATTAATTAGCAATTGACTAAGACCTTAAAAACAATTAGGAATGTAACATGAAAATTTATCCAAACAATGAATTCAATTACATAAGATTAGAGGTGGAAAGGGGGAAAAAAAACAGAACTCCAGAAGGACTGGAGTTGCTCATTCCCTGACATCATTGCATATTTCTTTGAGTCACACACTGACAATGTAATGTCATGTAATGAAAAACTTACCAAAACAGAATCTAGTTTCTGCTTAACTTGTTGCAGCCTCAATGATACCCTTGCTGCACTTGCAAAGTGATCAATAGAAGACATGGATGAATCTTGCAAAGCCGAAGCATCATTGGTACTACTGAAAATCTTGGGCTGTTTTGACATTGACCCAGTTGGCCTCTTCATGCTGTCAGCTTCCATTTGAGCAACTAAAATAGAAACACACAAGTATACATTAATTTAAAGGTACAAGTAAATTCTCCACTGCACGGTAATAAGAAAGCATGTTTTTTTCCTCTTTGCTTTTTCAGTATAAAATTAACCTGTTCTCTGCAGGATGCACATAGACACAGTTCCCTGTTTAACACTGTAACAAAATAGTTCATGACTGACCACTGTAAAAAAAAAACACCTTAAATATATTAATTCAATTACATTGTCCCATTAGGAAATCTAATTAGATCAGAGGGATTACAATACAGTATGTATGTTTTAAAATTAAAAAGAGGAAACCCAAAGATCAATTTTACTGAATTACCAGAAGTGAGTCAATTATCTGAAGCTGCTCTGCCAGTTCAGGCACCTGTCAGCTCAGTGTCATTGAAGCCTGTACTATGATCTATGGGAGCAGTACATCATTTGTTTGTCTATGACACATTCTCTGATTCACTAATCACAACAATCACGCTGCCGAGTCACCAGCTGTCCGGAGGAACATTGTCAAGGTGCTTGACTAATGGAAGAGATGGTGTAGGAAATGACTAAGAAAAAAGGTTTTGGTGATCCAGGAGAACAAAACTATAGTGGGTAGGCGATTTTCAGTTGCATTGGGCCTTGCCATGAAAAAAGCAGCCTCCATGTAATGATACAGTATGTATGGCAAGAAACATCAGGCACAAAGAGAAAACTAAAAAGCAGTACGTGATGGTGTACCCTTCTACAGTACACATTTATAGAGTAAGATGCAGTTACTCAACTAGAAGCTATAGTAAAACAGGATAATCACAGTATAATTTGAGATTGCACATTTTAAGGCAGAACTCTGTAGGAAGAGATACACAGATGATACATAGGAAGGTTTTTTTTTTTAAAGCGTCTCCATTCATATATTCTACCAAGATTCTAAATTGTTGACTGCAGTCTCTAGCTACTCAGTTTTGACACATAAATCTGTTCCTGGCTTTGTAACATTTTGGCAAAAAAACTGAATTTGGGTTTCTGTGATCTGAGAAACAAGCCCTGTTTACACTGCCCGTGAAGAAGAAAAATAGAAACAAAAATACAACAACAAGCAAAAAAAAAATGAAATTGCAACACACAGGATAAAGTACAAGGCAATCAGACACCGGCCCAAGTAAAAAGGTGAGTTTTAAGTTTAGACTTGAAAAGAGTCAACCAATTTGTCACTCAAAGATTCAGAGAAAGGGCATTCTGTTACAATGCAGGAGCGACAGAAAAAGCATGCTCACCACGTGTATGAGATTTAGTCCTTGGTACAATGAGAGAGGGAGTGCAAACGTGAAGAAGTTAAGAGATGCATGATGGAGACAGATAATTTAAAGTCTTGAAAGCCAGTAACAAAATCACATATTGCAAATGTGACTGTACAGGCAACCAATGTAGAAACCTAAGTGTAGGAGTAATATGCTGCCAGGGTCTGGAGTGAGTTAGAAGTCTAGCTGCACAGTTGTAGACATATTGCAGCTTACAAAGAAAAGTGTTAGGCCCATAGAGCAAAGAGTTGCAGAAACTGAAAATCACCAAAACAACCCCAGACATCTTTTCTCCACCATCAACAGACTGCTCAAGCCAAACTGCCCCACCACATTGCCTGTCTCATCGCAACTTTGCAACACATTCTTAGACTTCTTTAGTTCTAAGATCGAAAACATCCAGCATCACATTCTCTCCACTACGCATATCATTTCCATACCTCTTCCCTCCTTATCCAACTTCTCTGGTTCCCTTCTCTCCAGCTTCTCTCTTCTTGACTCAGCACCCCTCAATAAACTAGTTACACATATGAAACCCACCACATCTATTTTAGATCCCATTCCCACCACTTTATTTCAGTCCTGTTTCTCTTCTCTCTGTCCCATTGTCCTCAATATTATACATGAATCCCTGAGCACTGGCATTGTACCAACGGTCCTCAAAACTGCTGCCATTACCCCTGTGCCAAAAAAGCCTAACATGGCTCTCGACAACCTTAACAATTTTCGCCCCATCTCCAACTTACCCTTTCTTGCTAAAATTCAACAACGTGCTATCACACTTCAGTTACATAACCACCTCATGACGAACAACCTTTTTGAACCCCTCCAATCTGGCTTCCGTCAGCACAGAAACTGCCCTGATCAAAGTCACTAATGATCTTCTAATAGCTTCTGATTCTGGTTCTCTTTCTATACTCATTGTTCTTGATCTCAGTGCTGCTTTTGACACTGTTGACCATAACATCTTACTTTCTCATCTTGAGACTGAGTTTCTGACACCGCTCTCAAATGGTTCAAATCTTAAATCACTGATCGCTGTCACTTTGTCTCTCTTAATGGGTATAGGTCTGAAACTGGACTTAAGTCTAATGTTCCTCAGGGCTCAATACTGGGCCCCTTGCTGTTCAGCATTTACATGTTTCCACTTGGTCAGCTTTTAAGATCACGTGGCCTCAGCATTCATTTTTATGCTGACGATACTCAAATATACATCCATATCAAACCTGACACTGATGTGGCTGTCTCTATTCTATCTAATTGCATCTCTGACATAAAATTTGGATGACTCAAAATTTCCTTTAACTGCGACAAGACTGAAGTCATGCTTATTGGCACCCCCATCAACTTCATAAAGCCAATCCAGTAACCCTATCTGTATATGGTTCTGTACTTGAGCTTCAATCTAAATTGAAAAACCTTGGGGTTATATTCAATTCTGGCTTAACATTCGACCAACATGTGCAGTATATCGTCAAAATATCTTTTTTTCACCTCAGAAATATCGCTAGACTACGCCCTATGCTATCATAACTGGCTGAAAAGCTGATCAACACATTTGTGTTCTCTCGAATTGACTAATGTAATGCTCTACTCGCTGGGGTATCTAAATCTGCTTTGAACAAACTGCAGTATGTCCAAACTTCAGCAGACAGAATCCTGACCAGGTCTAATGCAAATGATCACATTACTCCTATCCTGGAGTGCTTGCATTGGCTTCCTCTCAAATTCTGTGTAGACTTTAAAATCCTCATGCTCACCAACAAGGCTCTGCATGACTTGGCACCTCAGTACCTGTCTGAACTATTATCACACTACTACCCACCTCGCAACCTTCGCTCTTCTAATTCTGCTCTCCTTACTGTCCCCCAAGCCCGTCTACATTGTATGGGTGACAGGGCCTTCTCCTGTTATGCCCCCAAGCTCTGGAACTCTCTGCCCAAGGATATCAGAGAGTCACCTTCTCTAAACTCCTTCAAATACAGACTCAAAACCTTCTTCTTTAGAAAAGCCTTTACTTAAGTGGTTCTATTCTTCACCTCTCTGCTTTTCTTAGTACCACCATCCACGGTCTCATCTGTATATTGTAATTGTGTTTTATCTTGTGTATTCTTTGTATATTCTTTGTATTTATTGTTGATGTCATTCTGTAAAGCGCTTTGAGAAGCCACCTTTAAAGGCGCTATATAAAATAAAGTTTATTATTATTATTAAATCAAGCTTTGATCTTATAAATGCATCAACCAAGCACCCAGCACCAGATACTGATAGAAATGGCCTAAAGTGCACAATGTTTCAAAGCTGAAAAAAAGAGGTCTTAATCAAATTGTTCACATGGTGCTTAAAAGACAGGAGAGCATCAAGTGTGACTTCCAGATTCCTGACTATGGCTGACACCTGGATGGGGGAACCCTTCACCATTACTATAAAGCTATCCAGCCTTTTCAGCTGACATTTGCTGCCCACCAGTAAAATTTCTGTTTTGTCACTATTTAACTTCAAGGAATTTGATGTCGACCAGAGCTAGATGTTATGCAGTAAAGGAGTAAGTGACATAGGCGGGAGATCAGAGGAGGAAGAAGTTTTAATGTAAATCTGAGTATAATCTGCATAACAATGAAACTGAAGACCATATCTGCGTATAATCTGACATGGTCTTATCAACAAGTCAGATATGAACAGAACCAGTTAAAAATACTTCCAATTTAAATTTAAGTTTAAAGCTTTTTATTTGACAGAATGACAGAAATTATTTTTAGCAGGACATTGTCTTTTATTTTTTCATCAAATTTGACACAAAAGTTAATATGATAATTCACTACAGAGAACATTTTGTGTTTGTATGTCTAAACAGATTTAAGGGCAGTGTGTAAGTATCTCAACCACTTCACATTTTGGTGGGTACAGTCTGTTCAGAAACAACATTAACAACAAAAAGGACTAGTTTAAACTACTTTTTATCTTATATTTTAGTGTTGTTCAATAAACTATGATGAAATAAAAATTACATTTATGGAAAGTTTGGGAGCAATCTGACCGCATGTAATAACCTCAACCTCATGCAATACCTACTGTGAAGTTCCCTTCATACAGGTTAGTCCCAATGCATTTTGCTGCTATTTAAAATACATAATTTCTACATTACAAAGAAAGATTTTTCCATAAATGGCAGTTTTTTTTTTGGAAAGCCATGCTTAACATACTGTATTATCTTATTTTAAAAGATTGCACCGCATCATTCCTCTTTCAAGTAGATAATTCCTTTTTTACAAAAAAAAAGATTCATCAGCAGTCATTCATGATAGACATCATAAAACCCAGGCAAGGTATGAAACTAAGTACATGACCTTCTCCTTGTGATTTACTGTAACAATGTTTCACCTTTTCTGGCCCTCTAAACCACAAGGTGTTTAACATTATAATAAGTCTTTGCTTACGTCAAGTATAAAATGCACTATTTTCTGTTCTTCTGGGAGTTGATTTGTCATATGTGTAAGTTTACACATTTATTTTCCTTAATTTCTAGAAACAGATGTCAAGAATGTGTCTGTCTTTTACAGTAGCTCAAGTAGTATTGAATGACATAGAATACTAGAAAACACACGTACTGCAGTATCTCTCAAGAAGTTGGTTCCTGGTTTCAAGAAAAGTAAAAGGCTGTTAAAATGTATTAACAATCATCCGTCAAAAGTTATCATCTCTTCTTCTTTTTGCATTTCCTGTATCATAACCCTTTACAAAGCTTTCCCTGCCTCCTCCAATCACTAACAAGTTCAGCTCAGAGGACTTTATACACTACAGCGGACTAAAAAAGCACTATGTCCACTACAGTGAGCCAGCTTGCTAATTTTTCTCAATTCTCAAAATATTTTTCCAAATACAAACAAAAACAAAAAAAAGACTTAAAAGGTGCAAGAGTGCATTAAGCAGATAGTATGAATACATTCCAACCTTAAAAACAGCAAGAAAAAATAGTTAAGGTGACTAAAATGAGTGGGCAAAATATTAAGTTATAAATGTCACTAAATTAAAGAAAAATGTTATGATTAATCTTAAAGAATCACTGTTAGCTTAAACGTTGGTTTCATTTCAAACATCTTATATGGGGGTGTTTAATGACCAAGAGCGCTCAATATAGCAAAAGAAATTAACCCTTTAATTCCCCCAGAGCAGTTGCAAAGTCATTTTAGAACTAAGTTGCTTTCTATTCTTGTGCAGTTTACTGTACAATCATCTGGAAACCACCAGCTTCAGTCCCACAGGTCTTTGTCTGAGAAAGTTAAACCTTAAAAGGTTTCTTCCTGCTGAACATCTGGTCTTTAAGAAGTGCTGCACAATTTTACAAAAAGCAGCTAGCAAGAGAACACAATGCATTTTCCGATATCACAGACTGTACAATAAAAAGATGAAATTATAGAACAGAACATATTAGCAAGGTTCAGGAGGTTTCAGATGCCCCAGACAAACATTATAACCTTTGAAATACCCACAAAAACCATAATCATGATGGAATTAAAAAAATAATTTAGAGCAAGATGGAAAGGAGATGTATATTATAGTGTACCGCATATTCTTCCTTTACTGGCCAATAAAGAAATGAAAAAGTCATAGAAATACATTTAGATTTGAAGAAAAGGAGAAGCTATCTTTAATACTTTTAACACTGCCAAAACAGAAAAAAAAAGCCATCTTATTCAGGTAGCTGGAAGAAAGGGTGGCTGTGGTATGCTGGAAGATGCAGAGTAGTTAGAAATTAACTAGACATGGATTCCATACAAATAGCTCTGATGACTCCATGAGTGCATTAGTATAGCATGTTTACTTGAATGAAATGAATGCACTCTACAATTACATAGTGTAAACTATAAACTTCATTGTCAATGGCCGGAATATTGTTTTACACTGAAAAAGCATTTTCAAGAAACAGTCACATCTTTTGGCTGCATTTGATCAGACACCATACTTCCTCCAAAGGTTCTATCACTGTGTTGTTGATGTTAACACCTTAATTTAGAATAAAGACTACTGTTCACCTTCTTCTCCTTAAGGTTCTGAAAACATCAATAAAATTTCCACTTGACTCTCATACTCTTTCACACTTACAAATTTTAATTTAAAAGTGGCACAGATACTCTACACACATTCATTAATTCAGCATATTTAATATCTAATGTGATTGCATGCTGCATTTCTGCAAAAATAAAAACTATATTTGCATGTGGTGTTGAAGTATACTGTAATCCATATATTTCTTTCAACAAATGTTTTTATACATTTATGTTGTATCACTAAATTCTACTTGATAAAGGCACCACTATAAACAGTACTGATGATTATTACGTTATTTATTTTATGTATCACAACGTGCTACCTATAATCCAAGGCATAATTAATATTAATTTATATCTGAACAGAAAATTAAGTCAGTATAAATAACAAAAAGTCATTAAACCAGTGTGACTGCATATGTAGATTCTCTCTCTATATATTATACAGTAATGTTATTAATAATTTCTAGAAAAGAAAAGACAAAATTTGTTCACGGTTGTTTTCTCAAAGTGTTAATGCTCAAAAACATCATGTACTGTAGTGACCCCATGAAGATGGTAGTGTAAGTAACACATTCTGACCAAAGGGGAAAATGTAAATGTATGTATATCTTGAGCTTCAAAGGATACCCACTGTGTCAAGCCTTTAACAACAAGTATTTTACTGTCGGAAACAGAGGACAACATGTACATTACCACTTTAACGGCAAATCACTACATATGCTGTAATAATCACAAGTGGGTTTCTTTTCAAATGGTATTGTTTACAATTAATTAGTAAAGCCAGTGTTGGTTATTGCAACTCTATGTAAGTGTAACGCTTCAAAAACTCTACATTACATTGAGCACTACTCTGCCATCACCTCTGGAGCAGCTGCACGTTTTTGATTCTGTCAGGGATACAACTGATTGTGATCATCAGTATGGAAAAGCTAAGCCCTTTACCCATCTACTGAAGGGTCACGTGGTGCCACTGAACATTTGATATTGTCTGTGAGCAACTTTTTTCAAGCTGGAGATATGTACATAAAACTATATAAAATACCATATACCATATATATATACTATTTGCATATATTCTAAAGCAAAAAAAACACCACTGTCAAACAGTAAGTATACAACAATTAAAAGGAATTTATATAACAATCAAATGCCATTACTTAAAAAAATACTGTACAAGTACAACAGGCTGTTGAAATGAAATGTTTCAGTACACTGAACAGCATATTACACTTTTGGAATTTTCAGAGAATTTCAATGCCATTGCGATACAAGAATCCTAAACAAATCGAGAATTACAGTATCAGATCGTGTGAGTTCATTATAAAATACAGATATTTTAAACCCAGATAAAATAATAAAGAAATAATGTATTGCACTTATTTAGTGCCTTTCATCCTAAAGGATCCCAAAGCATTTTATGCCAGCAGGAACACTACACATAACAGAATAGGTATAAAGGAGAGAATGACTGCCTCACCAACTGAATAAAGAGTAAGCTTTATTCAGATTGCACAAGCCCTGAGTGAAATTTAACCAGGAAAATCGTGTTACCATCCCTACTCTTATAAGTACTATAGGATCTTTAATGACAAAATAGCTAGGGCCTCGGATTAAGGTCTAAAGGACCCAGCTACAGCACAGTGTTCCAGGTTAGCATCCTGCTTCAGAGAGATGAGCTGGATCCAAGTGGTCCACCTATACCACTCAAAGAAGCAACTCAGTGTTCCTTAGAGGTCTCTTACCCCAGGAATGACCAGGTCAAACCTTGCCTAACATGCTAGAACCAACAAGATCACGCTGTAAAATGGAAAAGCTAATACCTATACAGTACATGCACTATAATAACTAATTAATAATAATAATTGCTTATACTTATATAGCTCTTTCCCAGGCACTCCACTCAAAGCGCTTTACAGGTAATGGGGACTCCCCTCCACCACCACCAATGTGCAGCATCCACAACATAACACAATAAGTTTTGTGCTTAACAAGTGAAATGCGATTCTTTAAAAGAACAGTTTCTGCTACTACATTACTGAACAGGAATTTGGCAAATTTTTAAAGCTTTGCTCACGATTGTCATGTGTGATGCAATGCAGGTCAATATCTAACTAGAATGAGTCACCATTTATTTTCTTCAGAAAAAAAAAGTCAACTTCAAATTCAAAATACATTTAATGCAAAGTCAACTGTATGCACACAAGCAAAAAAGAAAGAAAAAAGTCTCAAGAAAGTCCTAATTGTGGTATTACTCATGACTAAAATTAGAAGAACTATATGATTAACCCTTTCGATGCCAGACACAGCTTAACTGACTACTGAAAGCTACAGCTTCATTTTTAAAGAAAAAATACAAAAAAACTGCTAGCTCTGCCTTGCCTAGAATGACCACAACTGTTACAAATTATTTATTGACTTTGATGCAAGACATCCACAAGGTTTGGGGTTTTGGTTACAAAATTAATAAGAGGGGTACATTATGATACACATTGCTGAAAATGTGGTCTTTGAGACAAAAAATGTACTGGTTAAAAAGGAGTTAATCGTAAATGGTATCTTTATCTTCTAGAGCTCTGACGTCCACTTTTCAAAATCAATCAATGAGCAGACACTGAGTAACTGAACACTAGACATCCCACAAACTTGAAAATGTTATAAAAGTGCTCAATTTTTTTTTAAATTGAAAGGGTAAAAAAAGCTGAAAGTAGGAACTGAAAAATAAACTTGCAATCCTGCAGATCATAACAGATCACAAACGAAAAATACATGGTTGCTCTACTGCTTTCCGTCACCGTGCCTCCCTTGTTTATACCTTGATTTCCCATCACTGCTTACCTTTGCGGTCATACAGGTACACATGCACTGGCAGGCCCTGTCCAAAGGCACAGAAGGCCACCATGTGCTCATGAGGATGGAAGTCAACATCTCGAAGAGGTGAGGGGTAGCAGAGTTCAGAGTACACCGCAACCTGGTCTCCTGTGTTACACCAGAAGCACAAATTTAGAACATATTATTTAGAGGAAAACAAACATTTGGCAAAAGAAAAAGTCTGGTCTAGTCTAGAAATATGTTCACCTGAAGACCAGCTTCATATAAACCATCATAAGGATTCAAGAACGTTAGCTCAATAGAGGGCAGTGGAAGGAAAAAACTAGTAATACACTTTATAGGCCTTTCACCTAAAAGATTTTTAGGCATAGTTCAAAAATTTCTTTAGATAACATTATTAAAAATAAATAACTTGTTAACAAACAAACAAACAAACTAAAAGCAATTAGTTGTGACCCGTGTCAAGCCACAGTTCACTGTTTATTAAGCATTCAATACTTAGAGGGGTTGTCCCAGCATTTAAAACCAATTACAGTACTTGTGAAAATGTTTATTTCACATGAATGTTTTAGGACAGGAATGAGAAAAAGAAATATTAAGTTTCTCAACTCTCTCATAGGCTGCTTAAAAACATACTGCTTTGCCTGTCACCTCAACCTGTTTTGCTAAAAACAGAACCCCACACGCAGTTCTGTGCCTTTATTGTGAAGAATTCTACAGTTTAAAATTCAGTGTGCTTCAGAAACTCTGCTTTTTTTCATTTTGTACCTGTCTCTGCATTCCAAACAAAGGCCATTCCATCCTCACTTCCTGAAAAAATAAAGCTCCCACAAGGTGTGAATGTGCTGTGGATTTTCTCTCTATAGTTTGTGGCACCTGTATATTTCTTGAAGACCAAACTATGAAAGATAACAAAAACAGTTTATTGTATCATAGCAGAGAAAATCTTAAAATACAATCTGCAGCAAGTTTAGAACACGTACATGAACATACACCATGTTTTTTTCTTCTTAGGTTTTGGGATACTGTGCTCAAAAGCATCACAGGAAATGTATCTGATGCAAACTCACTGTACAGTATGTGCTCAGTCTTCTTTATTTAATATTGCAATCTTTCTTTCTGTAACTGTAATCACTTCTGATAAAACCATAATAGTGTCTTTTAAAATGTGAAAGTGGAACGATGTCTTCTAGAATGTGTCTTCTACACTGCATTTTTCCAGAAAGATGTCAAGCTCTATTAAATTTATAAACATATACATTAGACAACAATATCACCGATTTCACATTCTATTTATGCTAATATCATTTGCATAAATACATCTTAAGTTTATAAAATATTTATTTTACAAAAATAAACTGTGAAAGTATTTACATTCTCAAATCCATGACTCGGACAATACTGTCCTTTGCGTGAATCAGCAGACGTCGTCCATTTGGATGCACCTCCAAGTGATTAATAGGAATACCCTCCAGTTCACTGTCCTTTATCTCCTACAAAAAAGGAGATACATTAAATACACAGAGAAAATAATAAATCCCACAGAGCAAAACAGAAAATACTGTTTTTAGTCTCGCCTAATTTGAAGCCCTCTAAAATTGATCAATTTTTAACACTTTTTTTTCATCTGTTACATCCTGCTGTTTTTTGTTACGTAACAAAAAAGATTAAATCAATACATTTCAAATCATGATGCCCAAATTAAAGAAAGCTAAGAAAGAAATGCATTATTCTAAGAATATTGAAATGGAACATTTTGCAACTCTCATTATCAATCACACAATCTTGCAATATTTACAGTAAAGTTAAAACAAATGAATTACTGCTACAAAGGCAAGGTGGAAATGCCTTTAAAGCTTTTACAATATTTAATGTTTTAAAAACAACACTTTAACAAGACAGATTAGATAAATCATGTAGTTCAAAGTCCTGTAATTTAATCATTTGTTAGGAAATACAATTCCTAACACAAAAATTTCATCAGATGATATTCATTGAAAACAATGAATGGTTCCACACTTCACCGGAATTCAATCAGTAATATCCAAACTAACAAGCAAAACGAGATGACCAAATTCACAGCACATTTTAGAGCAAGCAACTTGTTTTCTCAGCTTTATTCATGAGAAACAGGGGCCTAACCTGTGAAGGCTAAGGTTTGCATTATTTTGATTATTTTAAAAGGTGGCACATTTTGGCAGGTTGGGTTTCATTCTAACAAATTAGAGAGCTGTAAAGGAAGCACCTAAATATGAAAAGTATGTGAACACACTTAGAAGCAAAGGAGCTTTTAAATTAAAATTAAAGCATTGTCCCCATTTTGTCTTGCCCTTACAGTCTTAAAATCAATAGATAAGGGTGTGGTCAACCATGAGGTCACAATCAGTATTTATGTACACTGCGTCTTAGTAGCCTACTTTTTGAAGACAAGTAAATATTTAATTTAAGATACTTGGACAGAGCTTCTATCTTCCACAAGCACATCTGGGTTTAACAATCATGAATGTAAACAACCTATCAACAATTTTGGTCTCTACAGACTTACACTATTCAACAGAGGTCTGATTTTGATGTTCAGCCCTTATTTTAAAAATACATACAGTAAAGCTGATAATTTACTGATCTCTCAAATCATACACTACAAAAAATATCAGTACTATATCAGATGTTTACTTAAAATACTGCAATAGGACCCAGAAGGATTACCAATAAAGTTTCTTTAAGTCTGTTCAGGTGACGAATTGCACACTGATTAAGTCAAAGTCAAAGTGAAAGGAGCATTCTGCAAACTCAAAAGCAATAGGTATTGGTAGAACAGCTCTAAGCTATATGAATGAATCCTACAGTTCATCTTTTTGAATACCATGGGCACAATAGTTTATGAAATTCAAATGCACATTTGACTATATTAGTCCGTTTCAAAATTCAATAACGATGGTATTAGCTAAAAAGTACCTCTGATTGCTTAATGAAAAGATTGTGGAATCATTCCGAACCACAAGAAAGATCAATTTAACACTCATCCGACCTGTTTCTGTACCTACAAGTAACTTTGAGATAAATAAGCTTTCTAGACTTTTTGGTGAGTACTACATTTTATAGTTTCATAAACGGCCTCAATTATTCAATCAATTCTTGTTGACTTGGTGATGCCACTTCAAAAACTGTTAAGTCATGCTCGTTTCATTTTTTTAAAAAGATTTCTTTAAGTGGCTTACACTATAGGTGTAACCCCGACAGTTCATAACACAACATCCTTGCAGTGGTTTACCTTATTGGAAGATGATCAATATACTGAAACGAAGAACTAACATTTCCAACCACAAAGGAACAAACTGCTAGACCATATAGTTTCAGGCTCTGCTAAAGCATTCCTGGTACCTTTTCAATGCACCACTGCCGTGTTGGGTTTTGTTTTGAGCCTTCCTTCACAGAGGTGTTCCACATTACAACAAGGCCTGAGCTGTCTCCTGAAAACATCCGCAGCCCTTTAACAAAAAAAAAAACAACATAATTCTATAAACTCTCAGAGAACGTGTGCAATTTCCAGCTAAAGCTGGCATACAGGTGCAGTTTATTTTTTACAAGAAAATGTGGAATATAATTATGGAGTAACTTTCCATTGCAAATAAAAAAATATTTCATTGCAATGTGCAACAGGTAAAATCGCTTAATGCTTCCAAACCTTGCTTTTGAACTATGGTTTAGCTTTGCTGTCCTACATTTGTGTGCAGTTTTAAACTTTAATCTGGAAACGTGGTCTAATATTATATATCTAATATGCTGGATCAAATAAAACAATGCAATATATGTAATATAAAAATATGTTTACCACCAGTATGTAGAACATATATACTGTATATACAGAGAGAGCTTGTTACATGAAAATATTTTTTACTTCATTTAAAAAAAAAACTGTTTTAACATGTTATGCTTTTTTCATTAGAGGAGAAAATAAAACCATGTTTGATGAACATTATTTCCACAATAACTGATACATAAATTAAATGACTTTTACAGATGTGTTCTTTAATCAGTTAATTTAAAACATACTTTGTTTTTCTTCCAATGTCTTATGATTAATTTCTAAAGAAGTGGGAGAAGAAATGTAAATATCTCAAACATGCAAGACATCTCAATAAAAATATTAGCAGTATCGTATCATATTGTTGAAAAACAAACGAGCCAAGGTAAATAGTAACTTGTACTTTAAAATTCTTTTAATGTTATTGGAACATTATAAAACAGTAATCAGAATTAGTAAGATTGTCTTTTTTATTCTTTTCTATAAAGTTTATCAGTTTACAACTACCACAGGGCACAATATATCAGTCACCAACTGTGAATAGTAAAAAGATTCAACAGTTCTCTGATGAAAGGATAATCAAAAGGAAAAACAGGTGAAGAAAGGTTACACCTGGATTGCAGGGTTTTGCTGCTTGGGATCATGTTATACTTAAGAACGGTTGGAATTAGTGGGATACAAGCAAGAGAAAACTCAGAACTGCTATGAAGCCTCTCTCTTGGCATTATTTATTCATCAATGGGAATTTTACTAAAGCAGCAGAAGCTGTGAATACTTTTGAACTGGCCTGATAATTCTGTACAATTATGTCTGCACAAATTACTAAATTAAACACTACATACTATGAAGAAAAGGCAGGCGAATACATACCTTCTGAATCAAAACAGAGCGTATTAATAAAGCTCTTATGCCCATCAAATTCATAGATCAAATGACCATTAATGTCTTTTACAGTCACATTCCACACACGGATTACACAATCATAGCCTCCAGTTACAACTAAATGCGGAGCAGAGGGATGATATCGTGCAGCATAGATGAATGCAGGATGAGGAAGAACCTTTTCAGCAAGGCTCTTAAGTGTCTCAATATTCCAAATTCTAAAGAAAAAAAAGAACTTCAGCATTGGAATCTACAATAAGACGTACTTATATTTACACACAATCCACACACAGCTCTCCCATATTGAGAGGACCTGATTCAAGTATTCAATATCCTCAAAGGCACCGACAAAGTGAATCCTGAGGATTTCTTCAGAATCAACAGTGAAACATTAATCAGAGAACACAAGTGAATATGAAATGGCAGTGTATTTAAAACCAAGAACAAGAAGCACTTTATGCAAAGGGTTGTAGGAGTGTGGAACAAGCTATGCAATCAAGTTCTTCAAGCTGATTCAAGCCATTTTTCAAGAAAGGTCTTTAGATCCTTAGTTCAACTAGTTACTAACTATCGATTGGGTGAAATGGACCATATGACCTCCTCTTGTTTATAATTGCTCTCATGGTTCTATTTCATACTGAGTCTGTGCCAGGCATAGATACTGGCTGGAAGCAAAGGGAGTAAAGTAAAAAGGACAGTGCAACAGGACAAAGCTGAATACTGGCAAAAATCCAAGAGGGAAAACCCCAGATCTACAGTTCACAAGCACAGGATAGAGGAAGACTTATTTTTACAAGTGTAAGATTGTTTATTTAAATTATACCATGTATAAAATATTTTATATTTAGAATCTTAAATGCACTGTAAGAATAAAGGGTGTATATCAAAAACAGTGAAGCAAGTGTAGTTACTACCTTTAGCCAAAAAGCATTTGCGATTGTTAGTATGTTCAGTAATACTGTGTTATTCTAAAGCTAACTATATAGCTCTGTAAAGTCTTTAAAATATAAGGTGTGGCATTAGGTGATGAATCCCATTTGTCAGACCATCTCTCCAAATCCGCGTGTGGCTCAATTATTTTGCAAAGTAGTAAAGAATGCAAATGAAATACAATATATTCAGCACACAGTATTCCCTGATCCGCATTCTTAGTTTCTCTGTACAGCTGAACTCATGGATAACATCAAGATCGCAATGATTTTGTTAACAGATCTAACTGAAAGGCTGAGAGGCTGAATATAAAAATGTAACAAGTACATTTTGAAATTATCTCACTAATACAGGCATTTGGTACTGTATCACTTTAAACTGAAATCAGTATCTAACTTGGTAAATACATACTGGATTTGAATGAATATCATTAAGTTTACTCCATCCTTGGCTTTGTCTGAAATAGTTTAATAATTAAACAAAATATATTCTACATAATTATTCAGTTATTAAAAGCAATAGTCACAATGCAAATGTCTCTGTTCTGAATCTAAATTTCCACTTGCTACCTGTCTTATCCTTAAAATGAAGGAAAAAAATGCATCTTCCGGGTTATAGATGTAAAACCTGGAGCTATGCACTGTACATACTGTAGGATAGGTTTGATAAATTGGTGTAAGATAAATTGGGAAACCCCCAAAATTATCAAGTGAAAGTACCACGGTGTTTTACAATTTTATTGTTTTTGTTCTTTTTATTTTTGTGGGTTTAGATGGTGGATATTCCCTGCCATCTTTTCGGCAAACAAAAACAGCATATGCAATACTTTCTCTTATGATACTGTTTATATGGATAGGAAAATAACTTTTGCGTCTCTCCAAAAACCATCAATAACATTTAACATTCTCTGTGAAGCACTCATGCCCCCCAGTGGAAACAGGTACAAATAGGTCAAAAATGCTATTACTTAATATACTGCCACTGTTGGCATCCCCACCTATACGAGCCTTCATTCTCAATAATCATAATTTCACTGAGATTCTATTGATGTGCAAAGCATTAACTTAGGTAAACCCTTAAACAAGTTAAATTACTGTAATATGAATAAACTCTGAAACAACAAATACTTTCAAATACGTTCATAACACATCCAAACATTTGAGTAATTCCATTTTCTACAAATATTTATCTTTAGGGTGGATATCTTAAATTAATTTGTATAGCAGTAACTAACTACAGAATTCTGTGAAATTTAATTATAGGTCCTGTGAGTTTGTTTTTCTTTTCAGATGCACTGTACCTTCAGCAGCCCTCAAACCCTGTTACTGATTTTCAGTGTGCTGTGACTCACATTACATCGTTCAGTTCAAATAAAAGTCACACACTATTAAGAGCTTAACGGTTTTGCACCCTCTTTGCAGTGGCTTCAGGAATTTTCATAAAGCTCTCATATCAATACTGCGTGGAACCACCACAATCCTCCTAAGTCTGATGTGGCTCCTGCAAAAGGTTTGAAAAGACAGTTACCTCACTGTTCCATCAGAAGATGCTGACAGGAGGTTCTTGTCATCTCTGGACCAGCAGAGATCATATACAATACTAAGGTGGCCATTGAAAGCTCCAAGCACTTTACCTGATGGGATTTCATAAACTGGAAAACAAACAGATAAAATGTTAATCAAGCAAAACAAAAAAGGTAATATGCTGAGACATTATATAGGTTCATTAAAGAAAAATTAGATTAGTATATTCAACAGCTTATTCAAAACTGTACTTAACACACATTGAATATGACAAAAAGATGCACCTCCTCAAATGCTAAGATACACCCTCAACTATAATAATAGAACTAACCAGCTCAAACATACCTACAATAGGGTAACCATCCCTATCAGCACATGCAGTTGCTAAAGTCCTTCCATTGTGGGAGAAACGCACAGCAAAACATCCCATCTGACCTCCTCGAAAACACAACAAAGGCTTGTTTGGAATGCGGCATACCTTTAAGGAAAAAAAAACGCAGAACTAATCCTCTATGTATTTTCTTCTAGAATGATTTATAAGTGTCTGCCAAAGCGCAGACTAGTCCTTCTAAAAAATGTTACTTATTCCCATAACAGCAAACCCTGGGCACAGAAAAAGAACAGTTTGACAGCAAAAACAAGAATGTTATTTTTTCTGCTTTGTTGATTCCATTTCGTTGGACTGAAGTAAAGCTTACAGGTGACCCCATATTCATGACTGCCAGTGTTATTTATGCCACAGCTCAAAAGCTTGGTAAGGTCAAAGAATGCTCTATGGACAAGATGGTCAGTGGCTTATATAGTGATGTGGTAAGTGTACTAAATCTTCTACTCATCCTTACAAACATCTCAATAAAACCCTATATTAGTGGTACTTGGACAAAACATTACATTTGGATTGACAATTTTAATGTATGAAGATCACAACACATTCTAAATGTTATGCATATAATTTCAAGAACATTTATAAGAAAACTAATTTGCAAATAGCTCTAAAACAGAAGCAGTAAAACATATACAACCTAAAATCAATGATAAACACGTTTTTGTCACAAAGAGCTTATTTTCTGCACATTCGATTTGAGCTCATCTCAGGAGAGCAAAATATAGTCTTGTTCATAGCATGTGCCACTTTTGAAAATGCAACAATTCCTCTGCTTCCATTTCTTGTCATTCATCCCAGCTATGACTCAGAGTGAAATGTCTTCAACCTTGAACTAGAATGTCTTTTATCCTAAGACTGAATGTGCAAGAACAATGATGAGCTGGAAACCACCTATTATCTTTTGCAAGAGTAGCAAAGGCAAATCACCATGGTGTGATTCAAGCATAGCCTTCCACCCACACAGACAATGTATATAAACATGCAATTCAGAAGTACATATGATTCCACGGTCTACAAATATACCTATATCGCTAAAACAAAACTGCTTAAGATGGCCTTTGTTTTCTCACAAATCTGAAAATCACAATGTTTCATGCAACTCCAAAGAAAGGATTGTAGATTGAGAAACTGAATCTAATTTTACTAAGAAAATATTTGCAAGTGTTACAATAAATCAATTTAGACCATCTTTCTTAAACCTATCATTACCCATGCGGCTACAAAATAAATGTTGACATTTCAGCAGTGCCTGATGAAAAAGAACAAACATCTTATAACAAATTGAGCTACAGTTTGGATAATGTGTCTTGCTTAAAACCTTTTAAAAATGTTACACTGTACATTGTAGTCCAGAACACAAGGTTGACATTTATCCCCACGTGTATATCTTTAAATAAAATAAAAAAACAAAACAAATAATGCTATGATTTTGTTAAAAATGAACACTCAAGAACTATATAAAAGCCTTAAGATATTTACGGTTTATATTTTCTAGTTGCACTGGGATTGAAAAGACACTCAGTAGTAACATTCATCAACATGGCTAAGGGCTGAGAGCTCTTTAAGACTGCAGACAAATTGTCATTGACCAGCACAAGCTGGGCAATGGCTATAAAGGAACCCATAAAAATCAGAAACTACCACTTTCAATTTAGTATTATTAAGACATTTAAAACTACTGGTGTAATGGCATACCCAGAAACATACACATACTGTCGGAATCGGCAATAACAAGGTGTGAGACAAGCAATTTGGGAGGTAACCATAAAAATCAAAGACAAACGTCTGGTCAATCTCTGCCATAGGAGGACTTACAAAATACTAAATACTAAGTGTGAATAAATGTGACCCTCTTGTCTAAGTATTCTAATTATTCATGAAAAATATGACATTCATCTGAGAAATGAATCAAGTATAACAACAACAACAACAACAACAACAACAACAACAACAACAAATGTCATAAAACAAGATACTGTCCAGTTTGCAAAACTTTCTGTTATGTGACATTTATTGATCCTTCTTTCATTAGGACCACGAATAAATCTATTTATATATCAAATATCTTCACATGCAGGCTCTAGGCTGCCTTGACTCTTACTGGGAACAAGCAGCTTTCTCATAAAGATGGATAAACGTGTGTAAACATAGTGACCTGCCCAGGCATTCTGCTCCACTTCAGAATCTCTGCTCTTTTATCATCCAGAAGCTGACTGGCTCCTTTTCTTAGAAGCTCACTCTGGAGTTCACTGTATGTTGTACTGCCCCTCTCCTGCTGAAGGGCCATCATGGAGCGTACAGAAGGATCCACCTGAGACAGCACAGACACAAACTGTAGTATCACTTTCATTGATGTGACTGTCCTTTAAAACACCTTGATATTTAGAATGTACAGTCTTGCATTTTGTGTCATGATTATACCAAACACATTATGCACACAGCAGAAGATTATTTATATTAATAAATGCATTAAAAATATTTTGTACATAACATACTGTAAAATAATACAATAATTAACCATTTCTTTGTTAATGGAACTTCCTGATGCAAGGAACTACAATGCCAGAATAAGTTAGTGAAAGTAAAAAAAAAACAGATTTCCGTAATAAACTGTGGGAAAAAACCCTCACGTGGTCTGGTAGCTTCAAGCCTTTTACGGTGACATACAGCGTTGATAAGTATCGATTTCTCGAGTATTTTTTCCACCATTCAAACACCTCCACAGTGTTCGACTGCGTTTTCCCCCTGGGAGGTGGGCAATAGAGCTGCAGTCTGAGTTTCCCATCTACATTCAGTACTCCATTCGTACCAACAAGCTAGAACAAATTAAAGGATAACAAAAACTGAAACAGTGATTTGTTAATAAAGCTCAACACTCCACAAAAATCCCTGCAAGCACTTTTCTTAAAAAAAAAAGAAAAATGAAATCATAGCTAATGTACTTTACCTTTAAAAATGCCCAAGCAATTTTTCGAAATCCACGTTCATGTCTGTCTACCTCAAAGTTGGCCCTTGCTTCATCCATACTCATAAAATCCAACACCTTGCATATTATAAAACACAGAAAGGAAAAGTGAATTGGCAACTATTAAAATATTACAGATCTAATAACGTTACACATGTCAACCTTTTTATAGGACAGCTACTATGCAAGGCAATTTCAGCTTTAATAAGTAACTCATAAGTTTTTCTTTAGAAGCAATCTTCTTTTATAAAAAATGACAAACATACTGTCAGCATAGTATTTTCTTGGTTGGGACTTGCATAGGAGAACTTAAATATCAATACATGAGGTAAAGACAACATTTCACTGAAACATTTTAAACTGAAATTGTTTTAAAAACCCTAGCAATTGACCGGTGTCCAATCCAGGGTGTGGTATGAAGTGGCCCCACCTTGTGCTTAAGCTTCTGGGAAAGACTCAGGATTGCCATGACCTCTACCTGGAGTAAGTGGCTTTCTGATAATGGATTGACATTTTACAGCTGTTAAAGCAAGTCTACTCTAAGATGACTAGAGCTCATATATCTTGATGCATTCTGTAACATTTTTATGATTCTTACCTCAAAAAACAGTATAACTTTTGGACTTTCCTCATTTTCCTGCAGGAAATAGCCAAATCTCTCATTAAACACAATTTGTTCCTCCCATTCTGGCATAGTAGATTTATTTTTCTTAAAATCATATGGCTGAGTCATGATAGGAAGAATGTGCTCCACTTTTTCATCTTCATAAAATGAGGAAACTGGGCGTTTACTGTAGAAAAACATTTACAGAAACCATTAATCTTTCATTACACTAATGGAATAATAACATTAAAACTGTTAGGTACATTAGTCTAATCACACAGACTAAAGCATTGGAACAGTTGCAGAAATTTTAAATACCAATCAACAATCAAACCAACAAACAGTAAAATTTGTTTTATTAATGTACTTGTTAAACATCACATGTTTTTTCCTGAGCAGACAGCACTACTATTAAAATGAAAAACCCGAGAACATGATAACTGCGAGAATCTTTACAACAGTAAGATTCCTGAGCTTACATTCTTTTTGCATCAAAGGAGAAATTCAGATTTTATCAGTAAACAATCAAATAAGAATCATATAGAGTATAATAAAAATACTGCTCAAACAGAATAAGAAAAAGTACAGTGGATATATTAAATCATCAAAAATATTAAAGTATAAACTATCCCAACAGATACAGCAATAAACATCTTGCACATGTGGCAGTGTGTTTCTGTGATGCACTTTGAATAAACACAACAGAAAATATCTGAGCCATTGTTGTATTTTAATAAATCATTGGCTTAAGTCTAAAATTAAATCAAAAGCATGCCTGTACATTTTGGAGGTAATGTATTAAAGAAACACAAGAAAACTAACTGCTACTATGTTTATGAATCATGCACAAAAATCTAAATGAATAATTAGTGTGTCAGTTCTGTATATTAAAAAATGTTTGTGCATTAAAAATGGAGAAGTGGAAGTGCATGTTTACACACAGAATGGTGGATGTGTGTAACAAGCAATCCATCTACATTGTTGAAGCCAATACCCTGGCATCTTTCAAGAAGTAGCTAGTTTCTATGATCAGATACTAGCCACCAAAAAAGTGCAGGACCAGATCTTTTCTCCTTTGTAACTTTTCTTATGTTCAGAACTTAGGAAAAGTTGTGTAATTAACAATAAAACAAAACTATCTTCAGCCCATTTCTTCCAAAGACTGTACAGACTACGCTAGGGAACCAACCAATGTTCTCTCTAATTTTAATGGTCTGTGTGTAAAAAAATTTCGAGTTGTGCACATTTTTTCCCCAGTGACAAAAACTTGTGCGCACTAAATTGAGTGTATGGAAAATTGTAAACCTGAAATAATTTTTTGTTAATATAGTCATTCTCATAGAAGCACAGAGATCCAAAAGACTGGGACAGCGATTCAATGAGCCCAGTCATAGAGACTGAGTGTCGAGCGAGCATGAGCACTGAGGTACGAGACTATGAGAGCATAGATATCGATTATCGAGTAGCAATAATAATGCATACAGCCAGGTTGGGCCTTTCGCAGCCAGTCTCATGTGGTCAATTTAGCATTTTTCAATTGATGACCGTGTTTGTTTTATTATTATCTTTATTTTATTTTACTTTTTGTGCGCAGTTCAATTTCCTACAGTATGTGCACTGATTTCATAACCTGTGTGCGCGCGCACACGCGCACAGCTTAAAGCGAACATTGGAGCCAACCTCTTACAACAGATGTTTGCAACATTTTTTGGGGGAATGTCAAAAATACTGCAATGTTTACTTTCAAGATGGTGGTCACTCAAGAAAGAGGTGTAGGCTGAGGGGTGCTTGGCAGAACACAGGTTAACAAGCTGCCAACAAAAAAAAACTAACTGCCAAGTGGTGATAAACATAAATTCACATACTATAAATACAACGAAAAGCATTGATGCAGTGAGTGAACTGAAGTTGGTCAACAGCACAGATGCCCCAAGTTCATAGAAATAAAACTACACAAACATAAAAATCACTTCAGCAACATTATATGGATGATTACATCTACATTATCACATACAACACTAAAATGCACTTTGTACAGTACCTGAATAAGTAACATATCTAAATAAACAGTGGTAGACTCTTTTGAATATCTAAGTTGATTTTTTTAACTATCCATAATGAAGAATTACATAACTGTATTAATCAAACATTCAGATTTTTAGTTTCCTAATGTGAAACATAACTTCTGAATAGCAGATTGGGCAATGGGTGATCAGAACTACTGCCTGACAGCTATTGAGATATGGCGTCTTTGTGGAATTTGCATGTTCTCATGAGGTTTCAATGGGTCTCCAACCACCTCCCAAAGACCTACTGGTTAGGTATCATTGACTACTGTAAATGTTTCCCACAAGTTTTATTTCTTGGTCCCCGTTAACTAACAGTTCACTATTTGTTTTGTGAGAAAAAGTAGATGTAGTCAGCAAATTAGAAAATTGATTTTGGACTGAAGCTTTCATATTCTTGTAGGCATTACTCTTACTCCTATGTGATTATTAATCAAGTATGCGAAACATTAATGTGAGAACACAAAAAAAGGTTGGTGAGCAATAATCAAAACAGTAAACGGGCATCAAATGAAGGATTCTAGCTTAAATGTCACCCATTTCTTCTGTTTTGCTTTTGCTGAAAGCAAATAGCATTTTGTGTAGCTGATTATCATTTAGATAAGTGTTGTATAGATAAGTGTTACACAGAAATATGGGGTCAATTCAGCATGATTTAGCCAAAGATGTAACTGTGAATGTGTTGCAACAGAAGCCATGCTGAAATTAGATTTTCTGTGGATAAAATATTTAAACCATTACCTATTTTCTTTTCTAATATACTTCCCAGTCGTTTCATCGATCACATGGACTTTGACCATAGGATGTGAAACCATCAGGTCTGTCTTCAGCCTGTCTGTCCGGTGAATGTAAACTCCGAGCACTAGGCTGTCATCAAAAGAGTGTCTCAGATGACTCTGCTGGGCCTCACTCTGACCATCACCAACATCTTCAGTAAATTCTGGACCACAGTACCAAAGGACATCAGTATTCAGAAACAAAGTAATGCACAAAGACAATAGGTATTTCAAATACAATGAAAAGCACTGATGCAGTAAGTGAACTGAAGTTGGTCATCAACAACAGATGCCCTAAGTTCACAGAAATCAAACTCCACAACTCCACTCATTAGACCTGTTCTGTTTGAAGAAGATGAAACAAGTTAACATACAGTGGTGTGAAAAAGTGTTTGCCCCCTTCCTGATTTCTTATTTTTTTGCATGTTTGTCACACTGAAATGTTTCAGATCATCAAACAAATTGAAATATTAGACAAAGATAACACAAGTAAACACAAAATGCAGTTTTTAAATGAAGGTTTTTATTATTAAGTGAAAAACAATCCAAACCTACGTGGCCCTGTGTGAAAAAGTGATTGCCCCCTAAACCTAATAACTGGTTTGGCCACCCTTAGCAGCAACAACTGTAATCAAGCGTTTGCGATAACTGGCAATGAGTCTTTTACAGCGCTGTGGAGGAATTTTGGCCCACTCATCTTTGCAGAATTGTTGTAATTCAGCCACATTGGAGGGTTTTCGAGCCTTTTTCCCCTTAATAATAAAAACCTTCATTTAAAAACTGCATTTTGTGTTTACTTGTGTTATCTTTGTCTAATATTTCAATTTGTTTGATGATCTGAAACATTTCAGTGTGACAAACATGCAAAAAAAATCAGGAAGGGGGCAAACACTTTTTCACACCACTGTATACAAGTTATTGACCTTACAAAAAAATAAAAACACTAAATAGTGAAACTGGTGACTCCTCTGATTAATCAAGTGGTAACTAATGAGTTATCTGAGTATAATGACAGTGCGGTACGTCATACATTTCTTAGGAAAGCAGCACAGGGGGAGAGGAACTGTGCTTAAGATGGAGCAGTAAAAAAATAGCAACTCTCCACTCCCACTCCTTTAACATATTTCACCTGCTGCTTCCAAAGCTGTGAATTATATTCAATGTAGTAAAAACCACCCACAGGAAGGCAGTCAGTCCTACACCCTAAGTTCTGTACTTTTTACCCACCTTTTTTTTTCCTCCTTTTCTTTCCTTTGCCTGACTTCTGTCCACCCGCCTCTTTGTTCTCAGTTATCCCCTCTTCTTCTGCATCGAGACTTTCTCTTTCTGCGTCAGAGGACACAACCCTTTGCTTCTTTTGTTTCTTTCTGCTCCCCTCACCAAGCTGGCTGTCCTGTAGCTCAGATAAAGGCACTGAACTGCAAAGCAAATATAGATGTAAATTTTTGTTTTTAATATATAAATCTGCCTAGCAGCCTTTTCTCAGAAGCCATGCACATAATGTAAACCAAAAATGGTTAGCATATGTAACGTGAACATATATCTGGAAATATCCAATTTCCAGATCAAAATTTTAAATGTAAATCCTTTCAATAAATACCCCTTTAAGCTGTTCTTTGTTTCATGTATTTTAAGACTCATATTATCAAGCAGAAAAACAAAAACATATATTCTTATTTTCCATACATTATGGGCACAACAGTTACTTCAATAATAGTAATAATCTTTAACAAACTTTAGCATTTCAATCATATTTTCCTTTTATTCATAATCTATTCCTAGCCTGTGCAAGATTTCTAACTTCATATTTAGTTCAGATGGACATTTTAATTATTATTCCAAGCCTGGTTTTATTTTACCTGCATTTTAGCAATGAATAGTTAAGTATAAAAAAATGAGAAACAAAACAAATCTAAGCATAGTTAGTTTCACCAGCATTTTGAATCCCTCTCATACAAAAGAATTACAGAATCAAAGAGGTTTCTTACTTGGATTTTCCCACTTCTAATCAAGGGTTGTTGTGATACTATTGATAGGAAGGCTTCTCTCTGCTTTGACTTACAGTAATTTTGTTTTCTTACCAATTACCCAACGTATATGGAACATACACAGCTCCTTAAATGTTGGTTCAAAAGTAGCATAGGATCTTCATCACAATGTTTGTCACTATTACCTTTTACATTTTTCCTTCATATTTACAAATTGCTGATAAATACAGTAAATTGAGGGTTACATGTTACCTTTTTGGCCTAAAAAGCATAATTAACAGTCCCTTTGTTACACTCAGTAAAAAGGGGGAACTTTTTATGCATGTAGTGTTCATTTAAAAGATTATACTTTAATTACTAGTAACACGACATAGATGTTTTGAAAAGGAGAGCATGCATACAGTGTATGAAACTGCTGTTAAAATGACTGAATTGCATAAAGGGAACAGTACATCTGGTTCACAAATTTTGCATATGATACCCAACGAAACTCTTTTTGTAGTTTTGACAACCTGGGGAGACAGTTTCCTGTGTCTGAATTAACTGCTTTGAGAATTGTGCTGTAGTTTCAGTCATTGTCCTCCAGCAACTTAAAAAAAGGTTAACAGATGGCAGACTATACAAGCCCTACCTGGAAACAGATGGTTATTAGTAAAAAGCGGTGTTTTAATGTGCAATGAATTATATCAAATATATTTTAACATGTAAAGATAAAACATTTAGCACTGTTGTAAAAGTCCTGAGGTGCTGTCCGTGTGGAGTTTGTATGTTCTGCCCATTCACACCAGGTGCTGTGGTTTTCTCCCACAGTTCAAAAATACACTAGTAGGTTGGCTTTTGGAAAAACTGATCCATGTGTGATTGTGTATGTGTGTCTGTGTGTGCCCTGCGATGGACTGGTGCCCTGTTACCAGGGTGTATCCTGCCTTAAGCCTGTTGCTCGTTGAAACAGTTAGAATGGATGAATGGATGGAGGATTTAAGAAATTAATATTCCCCACTGCAAAAGAATGAAGTGATCGTGACACCTCACAAAGCAAGTTATTTTGTTACCTTGGTTCTGTTTCAGTTGTCTTCAGTTTTTTCTTTTTCCTCTTTTCTGCTTCATTGTTCAATAATACAGCTGGATCTTCCTCTGTCCAGGTTGAATCTAACATCTTCTGTGCAATCTTTTTTTTTAATTTCTTTCTGATCGCATTTTCTTCCACCTCAGCAATTTGTTGCTGATACTCCTTGATAAGCTTTTCGTCCTCTGTGTCCACTTCATCCCTTGGCGCCCCATCTCTTTCAAGTTTTTTACGTCTGCGCCTCGTTTCAGTGTCATTAATCTCAAGACCCTCATCTTTCGAATTTGGTCCCTTCCTATTATCTTCTTGCTCTGTCCTTGTCAGAAACTGATGTTTTTCATAATGCATTTGACTCTCTATGGCTTCAGTCTTTTCTTTTTTCTTCTTAGTCTTTGGTGGTTTTCTCTCCTCCCCAACAAGACCATTGTTATTGATTTTTTCTCTTAGCTTGTTTTTTGTATACCTTGGACTTCCCTGTTCTGGATTGTACGTGTTTTTGAGGATAGTGTCATCATCTTCTGTCTCCTTGTTCAAGTCTAGGCTTTTCTTCAAAGTTTCAAGCTAGGAGAAAAAAATCTTTTTAGCAACAGTTCTTCTCTCCATAAATTAGTATGTATACATTTCACAATTTACTAGTAGGATGTAATACAAAAATAAAGCTCAAATAATAAACTAAAAACAAGTATTATAGAGGTTTCATTTCATTCACAAAGTAATAATGATTGCATTTAGAACCCTATGAAATTAGAATTAGAAGAATTGACTACTGTAATGCTCTACTCGATGGGGTATCTAAATCTACTCTGAACAAACTGCAGTATGTCCAAAATTCAGCAGCCAGAATCCTGACCAGGTCTAGTCCAACTGTTCACATTACTCCTATCCTGGAGTCCTTGCACTGGCTACCGGTCAAATTCCATGTAGACTTTAAAATCCTCATGCTCACCTATAAAGCTCTACATTGGTTGGCACCTCAGTACCTGTCTGAACTATTATCGCCCTACTCCCCACCTCACAACCTTCGCTCTTTTAATTCTGCCCTCCTTACTGTCCCCTAAGCCCGTATACATTCTATGGGTGACAGGGCCTTCTCCTGTTATGCCCCCAAGCTCTTTGCCCAATGATATCAGAGAGTAACCTTCTCTAAACTCCTTCAAATCCAGACTCAAAACCCTTTTCTTCAGGAAAGCCTTTACTTAACTGGTTCCATTCTTCACCCCTCTGCTTTTCTTAGTACCAGCATCCACAGTCTCCTCTATATATTGTAATTGTGTCTTATCTTGTGTATTCTCCTTATTTATTATTGTATTCTTCTTATTTATTGTTATTGTCATCCTGTAAAGCACTTTGAGAAGCCACCTTTAAAGGCGCTATATAAAATAAAGTTTTTTTATTATTATTATAATTATTAAGTGTCACACAAGGGTTTAATATGTATTTAACACTGGTGCATCAAAACTGCAAAACAGCTGTTCTGAGCTAACCTGGAATGGCTCAGAAGGATCAAACTCTGTTTTTTTCTGGTTGCCAGTGCAGGAAATTATTGTGGAAATTATGTTACCTGTAAGGGCTGAGTTTAGTCTCTTGAACCTGCGCTCACTTCATGTGTGTATTTGTTGCATTATATGACCTTTTCATTATTTTATTGAATGATAATGATTAATGTCCATTATCTAATCAGCACACATTCTGACATAAACGTCTAAATTACTGTCAGAAGATTCCTCAAACACTCCCTAAACAAGTCTGTCTTTTTTAAACAGGAAAATAAAGAACTGGCTTCACTTGCTCTCCAATTGTTTATTAATTTGACTGTGAAAACTGTTCGAAGAGCACAATCCCCAAATTTCCAAGTTCACTTGGACTTTAACTATAATTTTTCTGAATAATATTATACTGTACTCTGTTTTGAGACAGATATTTGACAACACAATCTGGATACTTTTTTGTCGCTATTGTACTAAGCAAAAAATGAACATAAGACATTTTGTAACACAAAAAAACTCCTAATATACAGTAGGAGTTCTTACAACCTTCAAAGTTTTTTAAAAATAATCTGGCTCAAGAATAACTGTCTTCTAAGACCTCAAAACAGTGTGGGGTTTTCACTTGGCTCGATAACCTAGGGAATTTTTAGGACAGGATGGGTTTTGAAATGTGCAATAAACTTAAGGGGATTAACATGCTGCGAGAAATGTAACTCTGATGAATGTATATCACCACTTGACATCACACAGATATTTATTTACTGGAAATGTGTACTGAAGTTATAGCTTTGCAAGATAATTCAGTAAAGGAACCCTTGAGTTTGCCTGTATAGACTCTATTGAGAGTGTAGGGTAGGCCCTATAATCCAGGATTTGCTGGTTTGAATCCAGGTTATGCCGTTGGCTCACTGATCAAAACATTGCCAGCATTTGTCATGTTTAAAGTTGACCAGATTATTATTGCCTTTCCAAAATAAAGAGATCCTTGCAGTTGTTGCAGTCTGTAATCTTACAATATTGTCTGTAAGAGCTAATGCTTATTTGCAGATCTGTAAATACAGTACATGTATCCTGAAACACATTTTGATTCCTAGCTAGAAGCTTTGTTTTTTACTAAATGATGACAATACAGTATGTACCAACTTAAAATAACCTTAATGTCTCACAAAACCCAAAACTGTAAAAACATTCCATAGGTAAAATATACCTTCACAAAACCATAACCACTGTGAGACAGAAAGGAATAAAAGACAGAATAAATCAACCATTGGTGTTTAACCCTTTCCTGCTAGGTAGACCAAGTATATCCGTTTCGTGCAAAGGTTTGCAGACAAAAAGGATGTGGTTTCTCAAAGGAGATAAGTACAGATTTGAAGATAAGGAAATGGAAGAAGGCAAAATATAGAAAAGGATACTTTTCAACCAAATGGAAACAACTTACTGAATAACCCCTGAGTGGAAAATACATTTTGGTTCAAAACACAGTGAAAGTTGATCATTTTGATTATTCTCTAATGTAAAAATAACTTTTCTACATACACAACACCTAGAACCAATAAGTATTTTTTCATTTATATTAATCATTAAATTTTATAATACATTTTATTAGTTTACCTTACTTTCCATGCTAATAAATGTTAAAATGAATATGGTATTGCTGGCCAGGGCTCACTAACTGTTTCATCCTGTTAAACAAACTTGTTTAAGCAGGCTGGAACAAACATACTAAAACAGCTGTCAGACTTAAAAATGAAACATTAAGGAAACGTAAAAGCTTATTAAAAAGACATATCTGTCATTCTGATTTTAGGGTATTAAGATATTTGATATGTTAGAAAGAATTAGAAGCCTAGTGAACTAGAATAACATTACAGTCTGAATCAAGAAAAAAAGGCTTGACCTTCATGTATGGGCAATTGGGATTACTGTCTGGATCTGTTTCTCACTGAATGTGTATTTTTAAATAATTACAGAAACATCCTACAGCTTAGTAGTCTTACCAGCCTAGAGCATCAGGCTTATAAAAACTTCACAAAAAATTCCAAAAGAAATGGGTTGCGGTTTCACTTTCACAGTTCCCCAGCATTCCACACTTGGGCAAAGAAGATTTGTCCCAGCAAATCTCATTCATATGCAATATTTAAAAAGGTCAAGCTTGACCTATCACATTTCAATCAATACTTACCATTCATTTACCATGGTGCTAATGAGCCACCTGCTGGACACAAGCAGCTAAACACTTTCTAGGATTCATTTCTATTAAAACATAAAATTCTACTTTATTTGACTACCTATATTGCTGCACGACACTTAAAACAGGAACATATATTTTTTTAAGCGATGACTGAAATTCGCAGCTGTTACTTTAAAAGGTCCGGTTGTCACTTACCACAATACTCTCTTCAGGGTGGGCGCTTTTCTTTCTCGACTTCTTTTTGTGTGCAGGGAGGTCAGTGTACGTCTTAAATAACTCTTCAAACCGAGCCTTTGTCTTTGCTTTTGCTTCACTCTCCCCTAGGACACAATTACAAGCATTATTTAACTAATCACAAAGACTAAGACATATGGCTGTTTTATAAATATAATAACAAAGATCATGGACTATGACATACCATTAAGCCTAAAGCTCTTCAGTAAGAATGATACTGTGGAAGCGCGAACTTGCATTAATTTGAAGAAATTGTGTTGTCTTTGTAAAGAGAGACCAAAAAGCTGTAGTGTCTCTACTTGATTTGTAAAAACAACAAGTATGAAAATGTGATATTTATATTTGGCAGTTTAGCAAAACATACAGCGAAGGTGAATCACTAAATGTAAGTACAGTTTGTTTGTTGTTTGCTTTCACATTCAGAAACAACTGTACTATTAAAAAACAACTGAACAGGCCCCCTGAACAAAATTCACTTTGTGATTTCCTGTTGGCTGGATAACTGAATTCTTAAAGAGTAGTGGTTTACTTCTTCACCTTAAAGAAATAGCTACTGTTCTCCTTCCAGTAGAATTTCTTCTTTATTTACATTTTTATGAAAGACTACTATGAATAGACACATAAAAGCTCAACAGATTGTGCTTACAGCAGCAACAGTATTTCAAGAGAAACCTAAAAAAAACACACCTGCAGCAGAATTTCTGATGCATCTCAATTTACAGCTCAAATACTGTATCTTACAATGCTGTGGTAAGATGCAAACAAGTTAACTCATTTTAGTACATAATCATAACAGTAAGTCTGGTTTCAATATTTCATTAACTCACCTGGCATTTTCAAGTGTTGAGGTACAATTCATGCTGAAAACAGTCATCTAATGTCCAGTGAAACTAGAAAAAAAGAATCAGTTGTAAACGTTTGCAAAATACAAAGCAGTCTGAATTGTCATCAACTACTGTACTTTAAAGCAGACTAGTGATCATCTTGATTTGGGGATGGAACAACCATGAAAATTAAGATAACTCTTCGCCCTCACAGCTCTCTGGTTCCTGTTTTATTCAGACTATGATGAGTCTTGTGTGGATTTTGCATGATGCCGGATCACAGGGTGCACAGCTAAGAGCCAAGACACCAAATTTGGTGGGAGTAACAAAAAAGAATTGGCAATTCAAATACAAAAACAAAATAAATCAGCCTCAGGAAGACATGATATCACTGACTAAGGCTAAGACAAAAATATCTCCATTTAGTGTGATGCAGTTGACAGGAGCACTGGATCTGAGAAACTCGTGCAGCCACTTCTTAGAGGATCTGAGAGAACTGAAGAAGGCTTCACAGCCAAAACATTGTGTTTTCTCTCTTCTCTTTTCAGCATGGAATAAACCTATTACTTGTTCCTTTGCACACATATAGACTGTATATACACCACTAATGTCCATAATCACTCCTATAAAGGCTTATAGGCCTATATCTCCACCATTGGTTCAGTCCTTTATACCAAATAATTTATGCAGTATATAATATTGATGAAATTTCTATTCAGAATGTGTATTTTATCTTTAACAAATATCATGATTCTTTTATAAGCAGCTTAATGTTTTGTATTTACATCATTTTGTAACGTTTGTTGATTAAGCCTTTTCCAATGATTTACCAGCATATAAAATAAACAGGATAAACACGATGTCTTTTTTCCCCACTTTCGTTTTTTAAGCGTATGAGCAGGGACTACACAAACGGTTACAATGTCTTCTGATGTTCAGTTTACGTATTTGCTGTATATTCAGAAGTTGTCAGTTCTAAACACTTGCTTTAAACAACGGCAGCACAGTGGCGCAGTGGTTAACATGGCTGCCTCGCACTGTTGGGTTACGGCATTCAATGCTGGACTAGGGGTGCTATCTGGATAGAGTCTATGTTCTCGTGGTGTTTGTGTGGGTTTCCTCCCACAGTCTAAAGACACACTTATAAGATAAATAGATTCTGGGAAAAATATTACTGGTGAGAGTGCGTGTGTGTGTGTGTCTGTCCTGTGACGGACTCTGTGCCTGTTGCTTGTATCCCTTGTGACTCTGAACTGAATGATGTGGTTAAAAATTAGATACTTTAAACTAGTTTTCCGTTATCTCCAAGCAAAAAAAATGTGTTAGATTATCATGCTGTTATGTGCCTGGGGTATATACATTATACCACTATGGATTACATATAGCTCCTAATAACAGCATGCTTTTCAATCCAACAGAAGTACACGAGAAGCTAGAAGGGCACCTGTAATGTAATACTCAAGGTGTCAACGTTTAAAAAAAAATTCAAAAAGCTCACGAGTTAGATTATGGAAAAAGTAACTGAAACGAAACCAGGTTATGATTTTGTATTGCCGATTATTCTGGTTATTCCCATCCCATAGGTACATAGCTTTGAACCCTCCAACTGCACATGGGGAGGGAGAAGGAGGAGTAGGCAGATTCCTCTGAAAACCTTTGAGCCAGTTGCCTTTCACAACAACAAAGCGACCACAGCTGTAGACCGCAGGAAAGGTGCTTCCCTGATTAATTCAGCAATTAGGCCACAGGGATCACCATGTCACCAAAAGAGCCCTAACGGACTAATCCTACCTTACCCCTAATGGGGCTCAACCAATGGCGAGTCACTGCTGGGTAACCCTGGAACAGTCGACTAGTGAAATGACCTTGGTGCAAACTGGTGATCATCTACCTGTACCCTGGGGAGAGCCTTTACTGGTTCAGTGACTCAGAAGCACATGGCTGTCACTAGATCCACGCTTTAAAGGGGAACAGCAATGCTATTTTTATATTTCAGGGTGAGAAAGAATCAGCATTGACAGGCGCATTTCAAACCACGATAAAAGTAAAATGTACACAGTAACACATAAAACCTCCAATTTACATCACAAAATAGACGACATTTCCAGGTACGCACTGCGCCATATTTTGGAATTCAGAACAAGGCAAGATAAGTTCCGGTGATGTGAAGTGGCCTTATTACATTGTCAAGAAGCAGGCTTGCGAACACATCTCTTTTAATCCAACAGAAATATTTCTCTCGACTTCGAGATGGTTTTGTCCACAGATACTACTTGTTAACTCTGCATGCAGGTCACGTTGGAACATTTCTGCAGTGAAATACCGTATCTGCCGCACAACCTGTACTTATTCGCTTGTATATCGCATTGCAGTAGTCATTACAGTGACTAGTGAGCAGGAAGGGCCGCGTCACGTAACAATTCTCACGAACCCTCACTCTCGACCATGGCGATACCAGGGATTTGCAACAACATGGCGACTTACAGTACTTTCACAAAGTTCACAATTTCTTGCTTAATTTGACATTTGTTAAATTCTTCTATACCATCAATGAATTTATTTTGTTAACAAGATTTAATCACCAGTCTGAGAAATTGGGACTACAGTTTCTATTTAACAGATGACCTTTGTTTCCAAATACATAATTTCTCCAGTTTCAACTTTTTTATTCAAGACCTGTAATTACAACTGCTTTTCTTTTATGAATGAATGATTCTGTCTCAATAGGAAAAAATTTGTAGCCATTTTATAACTTGTAAAAATTGCTTTACATCTTTTGCATTGTTGACCAACATTTACAAGACCTTTTCAAACTTTTAACATTTCAAGTTCGTAAATAAACTTTTGTCTGTCTTTTAGAACTGTCTTCATTTTATTACTCCTCCATTAACCTTTGCCAGGAACAAAGAAAGCACAAATCCACAGTCAAAATCACTCCTTACTATAGGGGATATTTTATTACCTTTATTGTTACATTTATTAAAATTGCCTTATTTATAGCAGACAGTTTCAAAGATTCACTAATCCTGCACAAGCCCTAAATGTAACGAATTTGGGGACAGTGTGATATAAATCATAATCAGTATTTCCCAGACATCACCACAACAAATGTATACCCATTCTAATCACATACAGTATATTCATTTACAAATAAAATATTCATAGTTCTTAATTGTTTTTTCCTACATGTCATGCATTGAAATGCATTAAAAAGTTTGCTTAATATCTGTACCTCAAAAAAAAAAGAAAACAAAAGAACAAAATACATTTGTCCTTATCTTCAAAATTTGTGCCTATAATCCTTCTTTTGTTAAGTACAATTAAAGGACATATGGACCACCAACCTCTCCAGTGGGCCATCAGATCCTTATAAATAGAAGTCAAAGCATTCACCTCATAAGAAATCCCACCACAATGTCATGCAATACCCTCAGGAAAAGGGAGAGGACTTATTTCTCAGCATTGCAATGACAGAAAATAAACACACAAATTGAACTAAATAAAGTTCTGCCTTTGAAAACATTTTGCAATGTGCTATCATCATCAGCCACTGCCCTTAACTTCACTGAACTGTAACACAGAAGAGTAAAAAAGAAAACCACATCCAGCATAAATTCCAGGAAATGAATTAGACTGAATGCACCAAAACAGAAATAGTCAAAAGTGTCATAGTTGTAAATACTAACAGGGCATTAATTGTCAGTCTTTCAAGTACAAAACTCACATGTTCTATGCTGCATTTTCTTTTGTAATGGTTGATATAACCCATATGAATCAATAGTAAATATTAGTTTGGTTTCATACACAAAAGGGAACATTTTTTGGTTTGCAAGATATCTCTTTAGCCTTTTATCATACTTTCAACTCACTGACTCTCACAAATGACAAATGCAGCAGTGAAAGGCAATGTCTTGATCTGGCAATGTGGCTAAGGATTTGCGCCTGTGGCTGGAAGGTTGCCAGTTCAAATCCTGTGGCCAACAGGGAAATCCTACTCCATTGGGCCCCTGAGCAAGGCCCTTAACCCCAACTGCTCCAGGGATGCCGGTATAAATGTCTGACCCTGCACTCTGACTCCAAGCTTCTCTCTAGCCGAATGTGTGCCTGTGTGTCTCATGGAGAGCAAGCTGGGGTATGCAAAAAGAGTAATTCCTAATGCAAGAAATTGTATATGTCCAATAAAGTGATCTTATCTTATTTCCAGCTTTGTTTCAGGTTTATAGCAACCCATCATCAAGTTCTGTGTCAGAGTTTTCATCTCAATCAGCTTTGTCCAGATCCCTTTAACTAATACATTTAATCTGATTACAACACCGCAGAAGGAACTAATTTTATCCTGTTAATGGGGATTTTATAGCCCTCCGGTTAAAATGGTGTATCACAGCCTACTTCAGATCTATTCCTTTGTGAGAAACAGCTCCCCACTTCTTTAATTACTAATCAGCTCTTATTACTAAACAAAACAGGCACTGACCTGTTGGCTGCTCTGTACTGGAGAGGGCTAGAGGGCCTACAAGAGGAGTAGCAAGTGCTAATGCTCTCTGATTGCAAATTAATAGATCTCTTCCCTCAGAAGAGGCAGTCTCACCTCGTACCCCGAGCAACCAGGATGTCACTCCAAGCTACTATTACCCTGACTCAAAATAAGTGGGTGTCTATTGTAACAAATATAAGAAATATAAGATATCCCTGTAATCTCAATCATAAAGAGAGGAAAAAAACCCTACATTCAGTTTTTTAAAAAATTTTACCTACATTTGATATTACATTTAGATGCCTAATGATCAAATGTAGCTAAAATTACTTTTCGGAAACTGAATACAGTAAAGGCTTTCTGCCTCATTTCTTCAGAATTACAGGTTTATCTTCTTTTTGTTACAGAAACACAACAGGTTCTTGTCAATGCAGCAATGCAGGTGGTCCAATGCCGCTCCTGTTATATCAATATATGTCAGCACAGAGGTTTTCATTCAAACTGAGCACTTAAATCATCTCATTACTGACTTAACTGTACCAATACATCAACTTCTCCCAGCTCTTCAGGTGCTGCTGACTTACAAAGTGGTCCTCCAACACCAGAGATGGAGCACCTAATACTCTGTTCAGCTCCTTAACTGTCACAGTTACTGTATAAATAGCTGCAATGTCTACACTATCTAGTCCCTACACAGTGGTTTCAGATATGAATTTTCAATAGTATTAGAATATCTAATGAGAATTTATGTAACCAGGACTACTGGAAATTATTATCTGTGAATCTATCGTTGTAATTGTAACTGAAAAATAAGATTCTAACAATAAGATCTTAATATTCTTCTGGTCTTCATATTGCCTCAGAAATGTCAGCATTCAGAATATTGTGCATCATAAATTTCCATTACAAAAACATTATTTGGGGATGTTTGAGAATAACAACCAGGCAAAGTTTGAGTCTGTTTCATTGCTTCAGCACTGCTTATCTTTCAATAACTTAAATACAGGTCTGAAATTGGTCTTGGCAAGTCTGGTGTCCCCCAGGGCTCAATACTGGGCCCCTTGCTCTTCAGCATTTACATGTTCCCACTTGGTCAGCTTTTAAGATCACATGGCCTCAGCTTTCATTTTTA